ACACATTTTTGTGTTACACTGTTCTTAAACAGAGCTCTGGCTTAACTGAAACTTCTCTGTAATGTTGTGCACCTGTGGGTAAAATACTTTGTTTCCAAATGGAGAGGATATGTTTGTGTATGAGTGAAAACTGGAAAATAGAAACCTGGAGTCTAATGTATCAAATGGTTAAGTGCTTATTTGGCTAATCACTCAATACAAAAACAATCCTGCCAGTTCATCTAAAGGATCAGTTATGATCACCTTGTTTTTATGTCTGTTTTTAAATCTATCTGTGATATTTTAGTCACCAGAGCTTACTTACATTTCCCTGAATGCAGATTGTTTTTTCTAGCCCAATTTCTCCTCTATCTTTCTATAGCTATTTACATATAAACTACCGTACAAATGAAAATCTGCTCGAGTTGGCTGGAGGTTTGACCATGTAGGTTCACCTCAGTCTTGCATTACAGACTTGTGTGTCTACATGTTTAAAAGCAGAGGTTTGTTGGTCTGGAGTATTCAGGTGTGTTAACACAATGACACAATTTTTGCAGGAATAGATGTCCCAACAAATTCACACCAATGTGAGACCATGCAAAGAAACTGCAACAAAACAAAACAAAATGTTAAAGTTCTTGACAGTAGAATTATAAAAAGAAAGAACAAGCATGGTTAATGCTGCTGAATGCTGTGTTCTACAATAATAATAATAATAATAATAATAATAATAATAATAATAATGATATTATTATTATTATTATTATTATGGGCCATACTTTTTTTCCACATGACTTGCATTAGCATTTCTGGTTTGTAGAGGAGCAGAGTTGAGTCATCTGTTTGTTTCATGTTCCTGTAGCAGCTTATTAATAATGTTGCTGCTTACACACACACACACACACACACACACACACACACACACACACACACACACACACACAGCTGTCCCAGTGTGTAGACGGTAGCACCAACTCACTCAGGGGACAGGTTATCAGAAGTGTCACTGCTGATATGTACTTTCTGCATTTGGCTGTAGAGCAAAAACTACAACACACACACACACACATTACAGAAGAAAGTGTCAGGTTGCATTCCAGAAGTTTACAAAGAATTTTTTTTTGAGGAACAACACTGCCAAACGACAGGAACACAACATGAATATCCTGTGGCAGTCCTTCCACGATTACACACAAACACACACTTCCCCTTTGTTCTGTCTTACTACTCCCAGCCCCATTTTCAGCCCAGGTCACAGGGAGTACATTCCTGGTAAAAATATAGAGACAGAAAGAGACTGATGGGACGAGTACCTGAAAGAGAGGAAACTGTTTGCCTAAAACTGGCCGTTAGATCTTTAATGTGTCATATCGTCGATGGGGCGTCAATGAAACAAGCTGTAGCTGTATGCAGCTGTATGTATAAATGTGTGACATAATGCTAAGGGCAACAAAGATGGAATAGTTCAGATTATGTTTGAAAGGTACTGGAAATCTGACTAAACTAAATATTAGCAGTTAGTTGCAACTGTGATACTATAATGTACCTGCATGCGTGGTTTCAGTTTCTCCGGTGTAATGTAATTTATTTATTTTTTATTTGTCAGTCAGTTGTAATATCAAAAATATATTTGAGCTTTTGGACTGTTGAGAAAGATTATTTAAAGGATATGAAATGTGTCACTATTTTCTGACACTTTATAGAATAAAACAAATAATCAGTTATTTAAGATTTTCACATAAACATGCTTTTGATAAATATACATTTTATTGTGAATGTCTTTTGACAAATATGTATACAGTAAAAGAAAGGAGAAAAAAAAAAAGAAAAATGGTCTTGACCAGTCACACCTGGTGATTATTATCAAATCATCTAATAGTTTAGACTCTTTACATGGTGGGGCAAAGGAGGGGCAAGAGGTCTAGACAGAGTGGCACATGCCTCTTTAGTAGTGAAAATCTCCTATGTAACTGAAGTCAACAAAATATCCACAAAAACACTTTAAAACTCTTTATGGCATCATTATTGCTTCTATCTCTTTTCTTCTCCTTTAGATGGGTAGGCTTAGAGAATTAGTTTTTACAAGTATTTTAAAGACATAAAAGTTGGGGGGAGCAAGAATCTACTCACTTTTTAAAGATGGCATTGCTTATTTCAGCAAGACAGTTCCACGCAGCAGAAAACTGTCTGTCGCATTATGAAACCAATGCAAGGACACAGGAGTCCTTAACCTGTATAGCCAAAGAAATCATACTACAAGAATAGGAAAACCTTAGACAGAGTTTCTTGAGTTTAACATTTAATATGTTATTCTTGTAATTTCTTCAGTTAAAGCTACATTTTCTTTTTGCAAATTATTGTTCTTTAAATGTATCTCTTGCATATCATCCCAAGTTTTTGTGTCACTTCTACAGAAGTGACAATTTTTACATTTTAAAGCTGAGAATAATTCCACTTACCAAAACCATTAAAATTTAAAATAACTCTCTACAAAGCTCTCAGATATTTATTTTAGTCTGTATAACAAAGTATGTCCTGCCAATTTCACAGTGTAGCTCTGAAAAAAAAATCCCTGTCACTTTGTAAATGAAACTTCTGAAACTCGTGTCTGCGCCTTGACACTTTCATTTTTGTTTTTTGTACTGACTTTACTGTAACTTTAATTTGCTTTCTACATTCTGATATATTTCACGCTGTAAAAACAACTTACAGTAAAATTACAGTTGGCAACTTAATGAGCTCCTTTGTTTATGTCTTTTGTATTCCATGGTGTTCCTATAATGTCGTTTCCCTTTTAGTCTTCCTTGTATGCATTTAAGGAATACATGCAGTAAAGATGCACTTCTATTCTATTCTGTTTTTAGTTGTATTAGTAAATAAAAATCTGTTTCACAACATCCACAGGTATAAATGAGCCTGTCAGAGCTCAGATGGAGCTGTCTATGAACTCCATGTTTCAAAATAAGCCCTGCACGATGGCAGCTCATCGTGAGATGTCTGTGTGTAAGCGACTTTTTTTTCTCTTCCCAGCCTCTTACCGATGGCGCTGAGCAGCCGCGGTTTGTGTCCTCTGTGAAACCACAAGATAAAGCGACTGTTTCCACTAGCCTTACCTTCTCTTTCCTCGTTCTTGGCTTTTCCATCTCTGCTAAATCCGGCGACCGGAGCTCTAAACTTTCATCCCGCAGCAGCAGCAGAGAGACAGAGAAAAACAGTCATCCAAAGCCAGGGTACAAGTCCACTGTAGGTTATCCAGCGGTATATGTTACCAATAAACTTGAGAGTGAGAGGCTTGTGTGCTATGCAGCGGTGCTCCAAAGTTTCTCTGAGTGAAAGTTAATCCAGACTGCGTGCGCCATGTTCCCACAGGCGAACTTCTCCCCATAGCGGAATTTTTGTCCGGTGAGAGGCGGGGATCCGGTCGGCTCACCAGCTCACAGCAAGGTTTCAATTACTCTTCATGACATCAGAGAGGAGTTGAGTTACCTGACAGATATTCATTTCAGCAGACTTTTACTCTGTGTTGGTGTAGTATGTTAACAGGAAACCATACTTTGTGTAGGAATGAGGACTTGTTTAAAAATATATTATTTTATAGCATTTGGAGTCTATTGTAGAATATAGCCACCTACTCCGAGTGCTAGTGCCCTATACGGTTAAAAATAACGTTTGTTTAAAAAGACTTTAGACTGGAAGAAACATTATTAACATTATTGTGATTGGTGCAAAATTCTATGAACATGTAGACAAAGGGAACAGAGGTATTTAGTAGGTAAGGTGTTAGAGAAATCCAGATGGATAGATAATAGTACATTCTGCAAAAAGGATGAAAATGTCTGTACTAAACATGCACTTTAAGAAGAGGGAAGAACACAGGGTGACATATAAGAGATGAGGAAGGTGCACACAGAGGGTCCACATCTTATGCAAAATGTGCAATCTGAAAGATATAGGAGACTGCAAGGTGGTGTCAGAGGAGAATGTCGCTAAACAGCATCAGATGGTTGTCTGTAGGATGCCTTTGTACATTAAGAAGAGGAAGAAAGTGAAGGCAGAGGCAAGGAGTAAGTGAAAGAAGTTGAAGAAAGAAGAATGTTGCACAGAGTTCAGGAAGAAGTTGAGGCATGCTCTGGGTGGAAGGAAAGAGTTACCCGATGTTACCTGTATATTAAAGATGGCCCACTAACAAAACAAATTAGCCTCTTTGACTGTGGTAATACAAACTAAAATATCAAGAAGGTAGGTAAGGCTCTTTGTTGATACTGATTTTTGAATATTTTATGGAATTATACATAAACTACTAACTTTTAACTACTAATACTGTACACTTCACTGTGGTGTGAAAACTACTTTAGATCAAAGCATTTATTGACCAGACATTAACAAAAAACTGAGCACTGTCTCCTAAAGGAACCACGTGACGATCCCACATTCTGAATCATCCAGAAGGAGCTCCATTTGCATATACAATGGCCCCTCGTTTATCGCGGGAGTTACATTCTAAAAATAATCCGCGATAGGTGAAATCCACAAAGTAGCCAGCTTTATTTTTTACAATTATTACAGATGTTTTAGGGCTGTAAAGCCCCTCACTACACATTTTATACACTTTTCTCAGACAGGCATTAACATTTTCACACTTTTCTCTCTTTTTTAAACACTCTCAAAGTTCCAACCTTCGTAGAAAAAAAAGTCCAGTATTATACAATGAAACCAAAGATCAAACCCTGTATTCAGGTCAGGTCAGGACGCAGAACACAATGCACTGAAAAAAAAAAGAAAGCATGCAAAATTGCACACAAAAAAAATCCAGCGAGGTCGCAAAGGTGTCCCGCATTATCATCATCACCTTTATTTATAAAGCACTTTAAAACAACCACAGCTGACACAAAGTGCTGTACATTGGAACTATATAATAAAGTCACATAAGATATAAATAAAAAGCCAAATAAAAGAAAAAGTAAAATACTTAATTAAATAACTAATTTAGTTACAAGAGAAACTAAGTCTCACTGAGGTTAAAAGCCAAAGAATAAAAGTGGACAGTGAAGGGGCCTCTCTAACATGCAAGGGCAAATTATTCCATAATTCAGGACCCACAATAGAAAAGGCCCCTCTGAGCTTCCTCCTGGATCTCGGTACCTCCAGGAGCAGCTGGTCAGCTGACCTGAGAGACTGACAGGGTGTGTGGGGATGAAGATGCTCACAGAGGTAAGGCGGGGCAAGATTGTGAAGGTATTTAAAAACAAACATGAGAATTTTAAAATGAACTCTAAAAGACATAGGCAGCCAGTACAGAGAGGCAGAGAGTGCAGGCCAAATGTCTTACTTACTCATTTGTGGCAAAAAACTGAGGCCGTCATTTTTATAAATGCATTTTGTTTCTTATTTGTATAGTTAAATATTACGCTCATGCTTGTGATGTGGACATATGCAGTTTATGTGAAGAGATGCCTAACTTAAAGAGTAGAAGCAGGATAATAGCCAGTCTGATTCTGTTTTTATGTCAGTAATGATGCCTACTGACAAACACCTCTAAAGCTCAACATGTGACATTTAAGATCTGGAACTCTCAAGATGTTAAATAGGTTTCATTTTATGTTTTACACTGCGCAAATAAATCTTGAAAGTTTGGCTAAACTTAAAATTAGCTAGCAGGTCTATGCAAAACAGGGAGAAACTATTTGTTTGCTTGAAGTAACTCTGACATAACTCTAACATTTACATTTTTCTTATAGATTAAGCAAACTTGTTAGTGAACACTACTCTGGGTATTGCTAGTAACGGCTTTCAGTCTTTAGCCTAAGCTGCATTCATCACTGCAGTCCTTAGCCTCACATTTACCATACAGTGTTGAGAATGATATTGATTGTCTCGTTTAACTGTTAACAAAAGTAATAACAATAATAATAATATATAATAATAATCTCAATTATTTTGAGAACATTAAGCAAAATCTACATTGCAATCCTTCACAGCGTAGCAAAAATATAGCATTCAAGTCATAAAATTAACAGGTACAAAGAAGACAATGATAACAATGTATCTTAACATTTAACAATATATCTTAACAAACTACTGTTTTTAAATCTAATTAGTTATTTTTTTTCTTTTTACATCTTACAACATAAAGTACATTTCAACATTTATTTCTTACGTACAGCTATTTACCGGTAAGTAATTTTTTCTCTTTCATAGCTTTACTTACAACATAATTTGCAGCATTCTGCAACTCATACAGTACAGTGCAAATACTTACATATAGGCTACACATGTGCTGAAACATGAATATAAAACGCATCTACAGTATAGGGTACAGAACTGCAACCATGATTTTATTCTGTGAATACTGAGGTCAACAGTAACCTTTCTTCCAGGACAGCCAAAGCTCCTCCTTTTTAATGAGATGTGTTTTCATGGCAGATATCTCCATCTGTCATCTCAGGAGAAGCACATGTGTTACTATTCATTTTAACAATGGCTCAGCTGAATTGAGTTACTGCAGTGAGTCATTATAGTTTGCCAGCATGGATTATTACAGCTGGCTCTTGAACTTGCACACCTCAATAAAATGCTCTTCTTATTAAATGTTAGTTAGTAAAAAACTATGGTGTCCTGCTAAGACCTACCAACATTTCTGTTACACTTTAGGAATAAGTTTATCTTGTCCTCAACAAGGCCATTTTGTTCCTTAGGTACAACCTCCACAACATCCCATATAGTAGACACCATAAATACACAGTACAATATTTCATAGTAATCCAAAGTTTTCAGTATTGGATAATAAATAAAGAATTGTAACAAAAAATATATATATATACACATATATATATATATATTTCCTTCTCTGTAGGTTTTGCCTAAATAGTATAAAGTCAGTGGAAATAAATCTTCTAAGTTTGTATTGCTGATCTAAAAATTAATTAAATCAAATTAACATGATCTGTGCAGGCCTTAGAACATCAAACGAGAGTTGAAGTTGTCCTGTTAGTCATTATTGACAGAAAGACTTGAGCGTAAAGACAAATAAAGCTTTCCATAAGAGAGACTGACTGTGAAGAAGATTCATCAGGAAATGAACAGGAAATTTTTTTGCTAATCCATGTGAAAATAGATTTCATAGTGTCTTACGTATATAATATTGAACATTAGGACGAGGTTTTTTCCCTTTAGACATTTTTTCTCTTCTTCTTCATTTGTCTGCGTCGGGTCAATCTCAGACACAGTTTGTGGAGCCTCACTTCTCTGTCTTTTCTCTTAGCTCTCCTTGGGTTTGGCCTCCTGAGGTTCAGTTGTACTGCCTGTAGATGGTGTTGCTCCTCCACTGCTACGCTGGTCCACTGATCCTGCTGAGGAAGCTCGGCTTTTACCACGACTAGAGTACAGCTGTTGAATGAAGCAGAAGAACAAATGTTTTGTGATGCTACTTAGTATTTAGTTTTAGTGTTAGAGTTGACATACCTTTACTTTACTTAAAAATGTATATTTCATGCAGTTTTTCTAATCATCCACTACATGGGATTATTTACATACAGAACAAGTATAAAGCTTAAGAGAATGCACGGCTGAACATGTATTTTAAATCACTGTATGCAATGGAAATGTGTGTAGCATCATCTCATGATCCGATGATCAGTATTTCCATTTTTTTAGGCACCAAACTAAAATATGTAGCTGTATATGAAAGATTTAGAATTATAGCTCCATGTCCACAGACTGATGCATGGCCATTTTGACCATTAATGCTATGTCATAATATATCAGTCATAGTGACTGTGTACTTGATCTGACTTCTTCTGTTATACACAGTGATATAACTGTATTATATTCTTTAAAGCTAGGCCAGTTAAATATATCTACTGTATATGTTTGTATACTTACTTGCTGTCTGCCGTGCATTCCTCAAGCAGGAAGCAGGACTGAGACACATGTCCCAGAAGATGAGCTTGCACTTTGGTCAGTTGTCTCTGTTTAGCCAAAGTCTGGAATATTCTAGAAGTACAAAAAGCCCAGTCAAATGAAATGTCCGAGCACATGACAAAGGCAGAGAGCATATGAAAAGGCCACTAGAACAAAAAGAGAACTGGAGAGAGTATCAAAGCAGAACAAAGCCGAGTGCGCTGTTATCTCAGTGTTTGCACATGCCCTGTAATTACTAAGTAAATGTGTGTATTTTAGATATGGTGTGACACATGCTGAAAAATTACCCCCGATCAGATTATTCTAGAAAAAAAAGCAAGTAAAAATTCTCCGTATGACTTCCCTGTACTGGTAATAATACAGAGAATTTACACAGTGTGTTGCCTTACCTGACAGTACAGTTGCAGTGGTAAAGTGTCTTTGGCTCCTGGTTGTAGAAGCCATATTTCTCATGCTGGGATGGGATCTTGTCCCTACACTCATCGATATCCTTATAGATACCACATGACATTGCTGTAGAGAAGCATCGGCAGAAGTGGTCAGTTACTCTGTTGTAGGAAAATCAGTGAATATACTGAGATGTGGTTAGTATCAAATACCTGTGATATCAGGGCCTACTTCAGTCACAGTATGATTTTTGGTTGGTACAATGTTCTCCAGATTTTCTCTTCTGTCAGGAACAGATCCCAAAGGTGTCTCTGTTGCATTACTGCCTGTGTATGTTGTAGCGTTAGTGAGAGGAATGATGGAGGCAAAGGGTGTAGGGACTGTGAATGCAGCAGCAGTATTGGAGGAAAGCTGTAAATCTGAAGTGCTATTCTCTAGGAGTTCTGCAGTTGTGGTAGAATTGATCACGGAGCTGTTCATGGTTTCATCTGTTGGCTTAGATTTGAACAATATGGGTGAATGAACCTCAGCATACAGAGCCATTTTAGTCTCCTTACACCTGCAAGTGAACCCAAAGGACGAAAAAATTACAGAAATATTTAGTTTTCTTATTGTTCCCAAGTGTTGACTTGGAAGATGGATGCTTTCTCTCAGATCAAAATTAAGTTACAAATACCAGCCTGAAACCAGTCTGAACCAAAAGAGATCAAATCTATAAACTGTATAGAAAAGATGGACTTAATTCAATTCAATTCAATTTTATTTATATAGCGCCAAATCACAATAACAGTCACCTCAAGGCACTTTATATTGTAAGGTAGACCCTACAATAATACATACAGAGAAAAACCAAACAATCAAATAACCCCCTATGAGCAAGCACTTTGTCAACAGCGGGAAGGAAAAACTCCCTTTTAACAGGAAGAATATCCTCCGGCAGAACCAGGCTCAGGGAGGGGCGGGGTCATCTGCTGCAAACGGTTGGGGGGAGAGAAGGAAGACAGGATAGAAGACACTTAGCTACAGTGACTTCGCCTATTACTTAGTGAGGTATTCACTAAGTCTGGAAACTAGTGATTGAAGCCATGAACTCATCAACTAATCGTTTAAAGAGGTCATAGAGGATGAGAGACTTCACTACAAGCAGACTTCTATCTATCTATCTATCTATCTATCTATCTATCTATCTATCTATCTATCTATCTATCTATCTATCTATCTATCTATCTATCTATCTATCTGTTGCTGAAAACAAGGAGTAATGGCAAGCTTATCTAGTTTTAGTAATAATCAATACTTCATGCTTTATGTATTGATTAGCTGTATATGTAAACTATAATATTCACTAGATAATTAGTTTGGATTTAGCTACACACTCAAAAACTCTCAATTTGGCTATAGCCAAACCTAGAATTAAGTTGCCTGACTAAATTGTTTGAACTAATCCATTTTTGTCATATGAAAAATTATCTTAAAACTTGGTCTTGCATGGAAAAAAAAAGAAAATGTAGCTTGGTGTTTTGACATTACAGGTGAGGTAAATAAGTATGGAGTTAATTTAAGTTAGCTGGTTAGTTGGCTGATAGAGTCAGGCTAGCTTTTTTTTCTTTCTGACTCAGTAAAACTGGGTCAAAAAGATGACACCTTATCAAAGATATTACCTTTAGTCCAGGTATATGCTTTTCAGACTTTTTTTCTAGATGTAAAAAGAGGCGAAAGTCTCCACTGTTTCCTGTAATTAGCTTGAGATCCAATTAGCTTTATCTCGACCAAAGTAGTGAACTACCAAAGCAATTTGTAAACCTGCTCGCAATCTAAGGGACAGATGCCTCAAACCCAGAACAAATAAAACTATAATGGCTGGATACCATGAGAGGTCAGGGAGAAATAACAATACTGGATGAATCATAGACCTTCACAATTACACAAAGTCATTTTATTTCCATCACAGCTTTACTTACATTCCAAACCAGTTTCTCTGTGTACACTGAAGCCGGTGGGAGAATGTAAAGCAGTGCATCTTCAGCAGGTTAAAGAAGGTATATCCCACTACATCAGCTATGCCGTCATCCGCCTCCACCAAACAACTTCGAAACCTTTAACATATTTGATGCCATCATTTTAAGAAAGAATCAACATCAAAGCACATGCAACAAACCAGCTGAAAAATAATCAGGAAAGGATAGGATAATTACTTGTTATCACAGTCACAATGAGACATGGTGAAGATGTTGCTGTTGAAAATGCCAAACTCTGAGTGAAAGGACAGGATGGTGTGTCTGCACTGATCGTGCTCCCGGCAGCAACGGTCGGTCTCTGAAAACACTCCTGCAACAGGTCAAAACATATATAGAAGGTGTGGATTAAAAGACTGTAACATGATTGAAACTCTCCAAAATGTAAATGTCAGTTTACTTGTTGTGATCATTGTTTTTTTTTTTCCTTTCTGTCAGTAATGTTCTTGGGTTTGTTCCCATTCTTTAAGTGTGCCACAAGTATATATATATATATATATATGTATATAGATAGATAGATAGATAGATAGATAGATAGATAGATAGATAGATAGATAGATATAAATAAAATATAACATTTACATATATTATTTACCCAAAAACCTGAATAAGGTTTATTGCCTTGTTAAGGAAGTGTGGATTTATCTTTTTGTTTGCTGTGAAAAACTGAAACTTCAAACAGGTAAAAATATATGTATAATAATATCAACTTTTTAAATGCTTCTTCAGAAAATTATTGAATTTCATTCAAATTAAAGACAGTCTAAATGGTCATTTTAGTGACTAAAATTAGCAGACAAGAGGGCTAGCAGAGGTGAACATTAGCAGAAAGCTATTAGCAATGACATACCTGTCAAAGCAGCCATATCCTGGAATATCAAGGGGAGAATTATTCCCCATAGAAATTTTTGTAACGGGCTGTAAACATACTTTTTAATGCAGGGATGTTTTGCTTTTTTAGTATGGGAATCTACTCTCTATTTAAAGAAGAGGGCTTTTGAAGAAGGAAGTAAAGCAACTGTAGTTTTTGGCACTTCTGCATAAGCCTCACTTTTCAGCTCCAGAGAGTACAGCTGTGATATTACACAGAAGAGGGAACACCCACTACTTTTTCTGTCTATATCTATATGTACTGCATGCCATCCATCTATTTCAGTTTTTCCTTATCTTCTTCATGGATAAAATATCTACCCTGGACCCATTGTGAGACTAATTTTTAATTTTGGCATTTATAAATGAAATTAGCTACACTTTATGTAGAGACACACTTTAAAAGATGAATACTAAACACAAGGATTTAGCAAGCAAGAAAGGCAGAGGTCAGTTAGTTGAATTATGGGAAATATATGTCCCTAGGCTGTTTCTGGAGTTTGGGAGAGAAGGGGCTAACATAGTTCACTGTCTGTGGCTTTCATTTTGCTCATTTTAAGTCTGTCTCTTGCATGTGTAATAACTTAACTTTTTGCTAAACTTGTTTCATCAACTCATTAACACAGAGTATTTTTAACCCCATATCACTGGTTTCCAACTTTTGAAAGAAATGAAAAATATGTACTTGTGAGCACCATAGCAAGTCGTGCCCAACAGATCAATCAGAATTGAAAGAAAAAATTCAGAAGAAAAATTAAACATAGTTTTGTTTTTTTATCCTTTAAATGTTAGAGCAAACTTTAGTATTAAGGCTCCAAAGGTGGGAAGCACTCCCTGTACATAAGTTCAAAAACGGAGTTCATGGATCCACATACCCAGATCTGAATATGAGGGTGCCTTGTTGCCAGAGCCGCACCAGAGAGTCCCGGGTACAATAAAACCGCGCTTTACACGCTTATGTATGCTGACCTCTGACCTCTCATCTTGACCTTGAACACGAACACTCCTCACCGACCTCTTTCCTGTGGGTTCCCCGAGAGACGCCAGGGAGACGCACTGCCCTTCTGTCTCTAACACGGAGTCCAAATGGACATTTTCATTCGGATGCTCTGAAAAGCCCCGCGCGCGCTCCCGGCACAGAGACAAATAGTTCTGGGTCACCGCTGTGTCGTCGCTCCAAGTGCAGCCAAGCAGAGCGCGCTCCCCGGACCAGGCGGTGTGGTACAGCCGCAGACATGGAGGGGTCTGCTGCGGGTCGCTACGGAGAAAATTGTAGTGCATTTCTCCGTTAGCAGAAACTTTAGTCCACGTGCAGAGAACCGAGGCTGCTGCTGCGGTGCAGCTCAGGAGTAATGATGTGCAGATGAGAGTAACAAGTGGAGCGATGCGCATCATGGTGGCGGCGGGTCGAGGAGGAAAGCAGCTGAAGGAAACAGGCTGGGAAACGGTTTCACTTCAGTATTGTTGTTTCACTCTCTGAGGACTTACGGACAGATCGACAGATTCCAGGTCGATTTTAAATGAGAAGAGGAGGAGGGGGGTGGTAGAGGAGGAGGAGAGTGCTCGGGTGATCCGGTGGTACTAAAATAAACACAATATCCAAACCACCCATGTGACCTGTTAGCATAGCCAAACACTTTACTCCCGCCCCCACACAGCCAAGCAAGGACACACACACACTATCTGTCCCACATCACAGACAGTGACCATGATACACACTATTGACAACACTCACCAAACCCACCCAGACACATACCCACAGGCAGCACGCTGCTACCAATCTACAAATGTATCTTTAAAAGTGATAGACACGCCCCAAAAACATTCTGACAACCTTATCAGTGTTTTCTGACTGACAGATGGAAATCTCTTGGAACTCCTGGGAGATTTGCTTTTATATTCAGTCCTTTCTCACTTTCTCCAACCTATGTCAAGACAGAAACTTTTAAACCATAATCCAAAAGCCTGCCTGCTTTTGGATTATGGACCTTTTACTACTATTTCTCAATCTTTTTTTTAAATTGACCTAAAGTGAAGCACTGCCCTCTTATGATCTCTAATCACAGGTTATGTCATTAGTGTTAGGTACACTAGGCTGGTGCCAGATTCTGTTGTGCTTTTAATCCTTTATGGGATAAATTCAACAAGCTGTTAGAAATATTCCTCAAAGATTTTGCTCCATGTTGACAGGAGCTGTCAATTACACATCCATGATGTAACTCTAGTTCAACCACATCCCAAAGGGGATCTGTTGGTTTGAGATGTAGTGACAGTGGGGACCATCTGAGTACAGTGAACTCATTGTCAAGAAACCAGTGTCAGAAGATTTGAGCTTTGTAATGCGGAGCGTTATCTGGCTGGAAGCAACTATCAGAAGATGTATGGTTATAAAGGTCCTCAACAACACTGAGTAGTTAGGCTGAGAAGTTTAAATGGTACTCAGTTTATACTAAGGGGTCCAAAGCATGACAAGAAAAAAACTCTTGATAATTTGATGCAAACTGTAGCCTCGGATTCCTGTTCTTAGCTGCCAGAAGCGTCACCTAGTGTGGTCTTCTGCTGCTGTAGCCCTTCTGATTCAAGGTTGAATGTGCTACGCATTCAGAGATACTCTTCTATATACTTTGGCTGTAATGACTGGTTATTTCAGTTACTGCTGCCTCTCTCTCAGCTTGAAGCAGCCCGTCCATTCTTCTCTGTCTGCTGGCATCAACAAGGTGAGAACTGCTGTTCAGTGGATATTTTGGGAGAGATAGTTGAATAGGAAAACCCCAATAGAACAGGATCTGAAATATTCAGAGCTGCCTGTTTGGCACAGACCAACAAGCATGCTTTGTTCAAAATCACTGAAATCACCTATTTTGATGCTCAGTTGTAACTTCAGCAGTCCTGACCATGTCTACATGCAAAATGCACTGAGTTTCTTCCATGGGATCTGCAGGTTACATATTTGTGTTAATGAGGCGTTAAGCAGGTGTACCTAATGATGTGGCCAGTAACTGTATTGCAGTGAGCAGCCCAACCAGGCAGACTGTTCTCTTCAAGTGTGCCTAAAATAGTATTTGAGTGTTGACATAGTTTTGTGATAGAGAAAAATATAATCTGTAATCTTATATAATCCGTGGACCCAGAAACATCCTCACCTACAGAAGATACTTGAACTAAAAAAATGAAAGACCACAGATGGCGTTTTGTGTCCATTTGACCTTTTTTTTCCACTCCGCTTGTCTCGTTCCAGGGTCATTTTGTCTTTTTTAGCAGCTTTTATTTTATTTTTCAATGACTGCCACTCTCTGTAGTCCTTTTGCATCTTGTTTTTGCAAGCTTGCATACTTATGCTACATTGCTCTATTTCTTATGATTTTTTTTGTTCTTTTTTTGTGGTTGTTTTGTTTGTAGTCATTGAGTCTCCCCTTGCGATTGTCTTTTTAACCTCTCATTATAGTAGGTTTCCTCTTTGTCTATTTTATTGTCATTTCACCTCTCTTTTGGTGATTTTGTTTACTGTTGTGGTCATCTTTTATCCTTTTTCTCTTTTTCTGTTCTCTGTTTGCTTCTTTTATTACCAGGTCATCTGTCTTTATCCCTTCTTGTGATTTTTGTGTCATTTTGTGTCACTTAGTAGCCATTTTGCATTTTTATAGCCATTTTATTACATCATTGTTGTCTCTCGTGTGTTGCTCCTGTGATTGTTTTGCTTATCTTTATATATTCATTTAGTCTCCTTATCTTTTTGTTGTAATGGTCTGTAATGTGTTTGTGTGTTGACATTTTTTGCTCTTGGTTTTTGTGTTTGCATTTTTTTTCTAGAGTCAGTAAAGTGTTCTTTGCCATTATATAGTTTGATGCAGACCTTTGCAGAGTTTCACAGCTTAATTCTACACAGCCTTTTGCTCTGTCTGAAGGTCTTGGAGTTGAAATGTAAATATTGGAGTTCTTGCCAGGCCTATCTTTTCAGCTGTGGTAGAACCTTTCTGATAACATCAAAAGTGAGATCATAGCTCGTAGATCATTCAAGATCAGACTTTTTTAGAGTGTAATGAGTCTATAAACTTTCCCCCAGTTAGACAGAAGAAGTTTTATCAGGAGAAGTCAAAGTTCACAAATTTTTCAGCTGCGTGTCTGTCTGAGCTGATTGGTTTGAACCTCACCTGATTCAGACAAAGTTTATGCCATGTCATACACAACAAATGCCGAGCAAGTTTCATCAGGTCTTTATTTATTAGCCATGTGTTGCTACAGACATGCACCAATATCAGTACAGACAGGACAATGTTGAATATGTAACTGAAAACAACCTGCAAATGTATATAAGATATACCCGTGGAGCAATATTTCATCATATTCCAAAAACAGAACTTCCGGTGACCAGATATTCCACTTTATGTGAGACTGGACATAAAGTGGAACCCTTACTTAAGCCCTTAACTCCCTCTTCCTATATATTCATATATTTAGACAATGTCACACATTTTAATTAGTTCTATTAGTTCTTGTTTACCAAACTCATCTCCTAAAAGTCTCACAAAAAATAGAACAAGAAAAATGATCAATAATAGATTTGCCAGTATATATGGATGAACACCTTTTCAACTCCAAAGATGAATACTAGACAGAACAGTGTTGTCCGTTTAAATATTCTGAACAACTGAACATGAGGTATAACCCTTAGTCTCTGGGTTCAAATTCACACAGGCCACATTGTGCCTTTTCCCCACATTTAGTTTCCTAGGATCTGGTCAACCTAACAGCCACTGCATAATTAAACTTGTTTTTGAAATAATCATTATTATAATTTCATGCAGAAACATTTTAGGTTGTTGAATACTCCCCACATGCATGGAAGAAGGTGATGTAGCGACCATGAAGATATGGAAAACAGTATGTTATCTGCATGTCACATGCAAAACAAATGATTGTTCACTGCAGTGCCTAACGTAATATTTAACAGATGCATAAAGCAGAATAAATATGTACCACAACACATGAAAATAAAAACATAACACCCATACCCAAACAATATGGAAAATCAGATGATAACACATGACCTTAGGTGACATGGATACATATCAATATCAGTATGTGTAAGTTCTGTAGATACTTGACTTGATGACGAAAATAAAGGGCTGTTATCTTGTCCATAAAACACGATAATCAGTTCAAACATTACTGCATGTCAGAATATTTGTTTATAGTCTGATACAGTTTATGATATGATAAACTCCTTTTGACAAAAAGCATAAAGGTCAACATCCATGTTGATCACAAAAAACAATAGTGCTTAAAATGAAGCTTTCATATAGCATTTTGCAGCAAACTACATTGAAAGCAAGAGTACATTATTTGTCTACCTGCACTCATGGAAGACATTTTACAGAGAGATATGGAGAAAAAAATACAGACAAGAGTTGAAGATTTTAACTTTCAATCCTCAAACTGAGTGGTGTTGTCATTTAGAAGAACATGCCAACGCTCAATCTTCTTGTCTTTATTCTTGAGGCATTCATACCAGTGCTTCAAACACTCTCCTTTAGCCTGGATGCCTAACTGACAGCCACCTGAAGGTAGAAAGGAAACCATTATAAAAGATGAATATTTGTCTATTTCATTATGTACAAGCTTATTTCTAAATTTATAATACTTGCAGTGGCAGCATGTTCACATCTGAGGGTTCCTAAAACAAGGCAGATGTATAGCTGTGGGCTGGGCTTTAGAATTGTGTAGTGGTCAAACTGTGCTAAGATCAGTCAATGGTTTTCTGATAATTGGCCAACTTCTATATAAATTGCCTGGACAGAAAAATGAAAATCTTTGTGACACTAATAAGTCTAATAATGCACAACATTAGGAGCTTACAGAATTGACTGCATGTAAAAGACAGACACAGATACGTGGTCTTATAAGTGAAACCTATGCAAGAAGGGCTTCAAATCTTTGTCTTTGAACTCGCCAGCAAGGGGGTTCTCTGGTAGGAAAAAAAGTGACGGTTATATATGTCTGTGGGCAAACAATTCTCAGCAGTTCCAAGTGAGTTCATGGCTTTTAATACTGGTTTCAAGTTATACTAACTACAACATTAAGTTCTTTTTATAGTTTATGGTACTTATTAGAGTCAGAAAAGAGGATAAACCAGAGCATTCTTATTAGCTAACATCCTGTGATTGACTACTCATTAGAACACTCAGATCCACCCCTCACTTTCAACATCCAAAACACCATGGTGATGGCAGTTACAACAGCCAGATTGTGGCTTCATGACTGGACTTAACTAACAAATACGTGATACAACAGTGGCTACATCAATACAGTAGTGTAACAAGTGTGTGCCCCCTTCCCGATTTCCTAATGTTTTTCATATTTGTTGCACTAACATGTTTTATATCATCAAACAAATTTTAATATTAGCCAATGATGTCCTGAATGATTGAGTTGAGCTCAATTTCACTGTTCACTGCTGTCTATCAAAACATCCTGAAGGAGAATGTCCAGCCATCTGTTCAAGCTGAAGGGCACTTGGGTTCTGCAGCAGGACAAATGATCCAGGACGCAATAGTAAGTCCACCTCTGAATGGCTTAAGAAAAACTAAATGAAGACTTTGGAGTGGCCTAGGCAAAGTCCTGATCTGAACCCGATTGAGATGCTGTGGCATGACCTTTAAAAGGTGGTTCATGCTTGAAAACTCTCCAGTGCGACTGAATTACAACAAGTCTGCAAAGATGAGTGGCCCAAATTTTCTCTGATTGGTAGTTATCGCTAACGCTTGATTGCAGTTGTTGCTGCTAAGGGTGGCCCAAGCAGTTATTAGGTTTAGGGCACAATCACTTTTTCATTCAGGGCCATGTACGTTTGGATTTTTTCCCTCTCAATAATAAACACCTTCATTTAGAGACTGCCTTTTGTGTCTAAATTTGTTTGATGATCTGAAACATTTAAGTGTGACAAACATACAAAAAATCAGGAAGTGGACAAGCATCAATAAGGATATGTGATCAAAGTTATTAACTTACCAATAAAATCATTGGATTTCCCCATGTCATAGTCCCAGACTGAGATGTCAAGTGTTTTCTTGGCTAGCTCACCATGCTTAATTTCATAACTGAACTCCTATAACATAGTGACAGAAGAAAGTTTATTACAAAACTGTGAGTGAAATCTGGATGGGCAGAAAATGGCAAAATCCGCAGACTCACCTCATTAAACTCTGGGTTAAGTGTCTTCTTTTTGATCTGTGTCTTGTTTTTAGCTTTCTTTCCCATGTCTGGCTTGAGACATCTATCAAAGAGGACAGAACAACAAAGGTAAAATGCCATCCCTTGGGAATGAAGTTCAAGATTTCTGGGAATGTTTATTTACTTTGTTGAGCTCACTGACTTTGCTCGAAAATTTAACATCTATTTAAATGTTAACGAAGCACATTTCAACAGTTAAGTCAGATTAGCAGTGATAATCATAATCAGAAGTCTATTTTGAGTTTATTCCATATTTTTAACTTTGACGGGTCTAGGCTAGTTAACTTAAGAAACTGTCACTCCAGCTTCATATTTACTGAGGAGGCAAGATGTGTTACTGATACTTGTGTCCAATTCTTAGCAAAGCAAAGTAAAAAAAACCAAACAAATGAAAAAAGGATTTCCCCACTGTCATAGAGAGTTTATCTATGTAGTGACATTAGTGCAGATGCAGCTGGAAAAAACACATACACTTTGACAAACGGGTCAGAGTATCCATTGGAGTCCATTGCAGCCAGGTGAGCACATCGGACCACACCCACTATCAAATGACTCTGCTGGCTGTTGTACATCAATGATATCAAGATACGGCCCCTCTCCTCTGAGTTTTCAACTTCTTTCAGCTGTGAACACACATGCGTAAGTGACATGTACCAAATAACTTTAACATAAATAAATGAAAACTATTTCAACAAATTTGTCTTTGTAGTAAACACACTAAAATATGTCACTGGGATAAATCTCTACCCAAAAGTTCACCATGGAGTTCCACAGGGTTCTGTCCTAGGACCTATGTTTTACTCTGCGATGGCTGGAGAATTTGCATCTGTCTGAGATGTAACTAGAAGTACAAATGAGGATAAAACTATGAACCCCGTTATGAAATTTTTTTTTTAAGTAAGTTCTGTTAAATAAGTTCCTCCACATCTGATGGTCTTCAGCATAGATCTTGGTTTTCAGGCACCCCACAGATTTTACACAAATCTTCACATATTATTTTTTCCTCATGAGTCCTTCCACCTTGACAAGATTCTCTGTTCCAGATGCATTGAAGCATCCCCACAGTACAATACTCTTAGTGTACTCCTAGTGTGTTTCACAATGTGGATAGTTGTCTTTGGGTTGTGCGCCACTTCCTTGTTTCTCTAAACATAAGCAGTGTCACTGTGACCAAAGAGCTCTATTTTCAGCTCATCTCACAAAAGGATGCACGCAGTATCCAGCATCCATAATCTTTCTCCAGCCTGTGTTTACTTAGCAAGTTTTAGCGTCATTTCACTTGAGACTTCATCTCAAGCCACCAGTTGCTTTCTATTACAGAAATGTTGGGATTCTCTTTTTAATACAGTAAAATCTTGAACCTACTATGTAAAGCACCATGTTCTTGCTTTGTTTATTTTTTTATATAGTGCCAATATGAGTTGAAGTTTTTCTCTTACTGAACTGAAAACTCATAGTTTTTGCCTGGATAGTGATGCAACCACTTTCATGCCTTATTTGAAAGACAATAAACCACAATTTGAGTATCTACTGAGGCAAAGTGTCCTGTTCCCAAAACCACATAGTAAGATATCTGTATAACTTACTGAAACTCATCAGACCAGTTTTATGTAAGATAACATGAGACAAAAGGATTACTGGGACAGAAAAAAGTGAGATCTACCATGGCTGTTAAATGAATATAACTGATGACAGAAAAAGTAAAATAAATAAATAAAAAATGATCAGTAACATCTGTCTGATATAATTAACATAGTATGTGATCAGGTCATTGTCTGGCACAAAGGCAGTGCACAGCAGTGGTTAATAAGCAGTGGTAATACTTGGCTTCACCATAAGAGCTGAAGCCGGGGAATCTGAAGAAACTACTTTAGGCTACAGTACATACAGTGGGGCAAAAAAGTATTTAGTCAGCCACCGATTGTGCAAGTTCCCCCACCTAAAATGATGACAGAGGTCAGTAATTTGCACCAGAGGTACACTTCAACTGTGAGAGACAGAATGTGAAAAAAAAAAATCCATGAATCCACATGGTAGGATTTGTAAAGAATTTATTCGTAAATCAGGGTGGAAAATAAGTATTTGGTCAATAACAAAAATACAACTCAATACTTTGTTGGCAATAACAGAGGTCAAACGTTTGCTATAGGTCTCTACCAGGTTTGCACACACAGTAGCTGGTATTTTGGCCCATTCCTCCATGCAGATCTTCTCGAGAGCAGTGATGTTTTGGGGCTGTCGCCGAGCAACACGGACTTTCAACTCCCGCCACAGATTTTCTATGGGGTTGAGGTCTGGAGACTGGCTAGGCCACTCCAGGACTTTCAAATGCTTCTTACGGAGCCACTCCTTTGTTGCCCGGGCGGTGTGTTTTGGATCATTGTCATGTTGGAAGACCCAGCCTCGTTTCATCTTCAAAGTTCTCACTGATGGAAGGAGGTTTTGGCTCAAAATCTCACGATACATGGCCCCATTCATTCTGTCCTTAACACGGATCAGTCGTCCTGTCCCCTTGGCAGAAAAACAGCCCCATAGCATGATGTTTCCACCCCCATGCTTCACAGTAGGTATGGTGTTCTTGGGATGCAACTCAGTATTCTTCTTCCTCCAAACACGACGAGTTGAGTTTATACCAAAAAGTTCTACTTTGGTTTCATCTGACCACATGACATTCTCCCAATCCTCTGCTGTATCATCCATGTGCTCTCTGGCAAACTTCAGACGGGCCTGGACATGCACTGGCTTCAGCAGCGGAACACGTCTGGCACTGCGGGATTTGATTCCCTGCCGTTGTAGTGTGTTACTGATGGTGACCTTTGTTACTTTGGTCCCAGCTCTCTGCAGGTCATTCACCAGGTCCCCCCGTGTGGTTCTGGGATCTTTGCTCACCGTTCTCATGATCATTTTGACCCCACGGGATGAGATCTTGCGTGGAGCCCCAGATCGAGGGAGATTATCAGTGGTCTTGTATGTCTTCCATTTTCTGATGATTGCTCCCACAGTTGATTTTTTCACACCAAGCTGCTTGCCTATTGTAGATTCACTCTTCCCAGTCTGGTGCAGGTCTACAATACTTTTCCTGGTGTCCTTCCAAAGCTCTTTGGTCTTGGCCATGGCGGAGTTTGGAGTCTGACTGTTTGAGGCTGTGGACAGGTGTCTTTTATACAGATGATGAGTTCAAACAGGTGCCATTCATACAGGTAACAAGTGGGGGACAGAAAAGCTTCTTACAGAAGACGTTACAGGTCTGTGAGAGCCAGAGATTTTCCTTGTTTGAGGTGACCAAATACTTATTTTCCACCCTAATTTACGAATAAATTCTTTACAAATCCTACCATGTGGATTCATGGATTTCTTTTTCACATTCTGTCTCTCACAGTTGAAGTGTACCTCTGGTGCAAATTACTGACCTCTGTCATCATTTTAAGTGGGGGAACTTGCACAATCGGTGGCTGACTAAATACTTTTTTGCCCCACTGTATATACATACATCCTTCAGATAAAACCTGAAAATAAGCAAATGCAAGATACATCGAATAAAAGAACATAAGTAACATCAGTATAGAAGATGCCTGTAAAAGGAACAGTGGCCTTAAGTATATTACCTGATTTTTATTTGAAACTGTGTAATGTTATATATTTTACATTTACACAAATGTAGCTTATATGTTTTAATTTCTATTTTTTAAATACGTATATTAACTAATGCACAGTGGTAAGATCTATGTGAAGGTCTTACATCATCCTCATAAAGAGCCATGCCACGGATGGATCCTCCTACAGCCTTCTTCACCTGTACAGAGAGCAAACCATCATCATTATCATCATCATCCTCATCATGATTGAAGCTAGAGCCTTTATCATTAGTTTGTGTGTATAGAAGTAAAATAGGAAATGTCCCTGTTCAAGGACTACTTCAGCATTTCTTAGTATAAGAACTAAAACCCGGGAAAACAGCTATTTAAGCACGGTTAAAGATCAGTAAGTAACATGTTGTATCCCATTTCCATAGACCATACAAAACTTAAGGTGTCAAGCAGAATCCAGTCATACTGTAGAAAATGCTTTCCTGTTTCCAGTATTTATTAGAACTTTTCAAACAATTCGTCAAAGACTTTCACTTCTACAATGTATGGCCTGCAAACTATATGGACAAAGTATTGGGGTACCTCGTAATCTTTAATTTCAGGTTTTGTCAGTGTGCATGCCACAGGGTAATAAAACTGGACACCAAGCTATGCATACTTTTTCCATATACACTATTAAGTGTATATGTATGCATAAAGTACAAAATAATACATTTTATCTCTTCAAGTGTCTAGCCATTTGTGATTAAAACATTCACGTTTAGATCCATTTAAGGTCCACCTGAAGATGTTCAGTTTTCAATGAATAAAATGTTATTATATGAGCACTATAAATAATAACTGTTTTAAAACAGCTGCTCTGGTGGTTAATCCTACTAGAGGATCAGCAGACAGACCTATCACGAAATTATACATACCGAGAATTCCATTTATACTAGTGTTTTTAAAAGGGAACTAATACATTAGATGTATTCTTGGCCACCAAAGTAGTTTTTGTCAGGGTTCCTGGGTGGTTCACCAGCTGTATTCAGTTCATGTTCAGTTTATGTTCCACATTCATATTTCCCGCTTCACCGTGCTGTTTCAGTGTCATTAGTTCTACTTCCTGTTTCATTATGTTCAGCTGTGTTCTCACCGGTCCCTAATCATCATCATTAGCCAGTGTACTTAAGTCCTCAGTTTCATCCTGGTCTTTGTCGTCTCATTGATGTTAATGTTGTCTACTCTGTACGTGTGTTCAGTTCAGCCAGTCATTTCAGTTCAGCGAGCCATCTTATGTTCAGCTCACCTGCTCGTCATAATAAGCACCAGCCTTCACCTACCTGTGAGTCCAGCATTTAGGTCCTCCTTTCCTAGCATCCACACAACACCCCTGACAGTTTTGGGTGATTTGTGGTTTTAAAAGATTCTCATTTGTTTTATACTGAGCCTTGGTGCAAGCTCTCAGTTCATTCACTATCTGAAACAAGCTGTTTTAACTCGCTCCCCCCTTAAATTCGATTTCTTTTCATTTGTTGTCCCTTAAGCAAGTTTAAACCGAAGCAAAATGGGACTTATGCAGCTATAGCCAGAGCTGTGTCCCCTTGGTGTCCCTGAGGTAACCACTTACACTGTAATGAGTAATCTTGTGGCCCAGACTGACCACGTACCTACACCAAGCGGAAAATGTGAAGATTTCACTCGATTGCAAAAGTACTTTATGCCTTTGGAAGCAGCAAGTTACTAGTGCTTTACTAAAATGTCTAAGGAAAGAACAAGATAAGATGTTCTGAACTGCTTTGTCATCCTCTAAGATGCTGTTTTGCACCAAAATACAAAACAATGTGTAACCTTCATTTCAGATAATGTGTGACTCACAGTTTAAAAACACTGGCATCTCTTGTGATCTGTACTCATTTTTGCATCTCATGTACTTGAGCTGTGCTGTGAGTTCATCTGCCAGTGCTGAGTTAAACTTACAGAAAAACAGTAGCTAACTGTGTGCCTTATTAAGCAAATATTTAGAGCAGGTCAAAACCTCATCGTATTGTCGGTTTTGCCCTCAGACTTACTGGGATCACTCTCTCCAAACAAACACTGAAGTTCTTCTTCTCATTAAATTTCAGTTTCTTGAGGGCCACTCGTGTCTCTCCTATGAATTCATTGTGTCCAAACTTGTCCTCGTCACTCACCGAAAGCCTGCAAACAACAAACGATGCACTCCATGAAAGCTTTTATTTTGATATAAGTAGCAAATCAGTGTTAAAGTATGTAAAAGTCGTTCATACCGGAGGGTTTTGCGTGACATTTCTTCATCTGTGATGCCATGGTAAACCAGGGTTTCATTCCAAACAGGATTCAAGGTGTTTTTAAGTGTCTTGGTACGAAGCTTATTAGACTAAAGATAAGAAATTCAGATGAATTTCTCAAGTAATAAAAGAAACTGAGGAATAACTGAGAACCAATGCCCATCAGAACATCAAACACTTAGCTCAAAGCAAACTGATTATTCTATTTCACTCAAAATGACACAGTACTCCTATCAGCGATGTACCAGCCAACCTAAATTTAAGGCTATGAGCATTAGTCAGTTTGTTATTGCAATATTATATAATATAAGAGCATTTCAAATCAAATAAATTCACCAAAACACCATCTTCTCAAACAGGATTGTCATTAGGAGCTTTCTAACACTGTATTTACATTTATTGGGTCACATTGCGTACATCCCATCCTCCAATTTCCTGCTAATGTCAATTTCTGTTAAATTAATACAGTTGGTGAAACAGTTAATCAATCCTCTGCTAAATTTATAAATTTTCTTAATTATAAAGAAATGAACAGTCTTAACATTTCCATCGTAGCTTAATTTTAACGGAGAGAAAAATCCAGAAAAAAATCACACATTTTTTCTGTTTGCAAATTTACAAAACCCTCTGAATCTTTACGGTTTTTCAACTGCTCCTCGGCAATTTGAAGCTATGATCTCTCCATAGATTTTTTAAATAATTGAAGTCTGGCGACTGGTGTGGTCACTCCATGATCTTAATGTGCTTCTTCTTTAGCAACTCCTTTTGTTGTGATATGCTTTGGGTCATTGTTATGCTAGAAGATCCATCCATGTGTTTTGGCTGAGGGAAGGAGGTTGTCGTCCAAAATTTTAAGGTTCCCTAATGGACAGGTAATCTGTGTGTCTTGTGGGTGCTGCAATATTTCAATTACAATCTAGTGTCTTACCAATGGTGTTCTGGGTGACTGTGGTGTCAAATGTCTTCAGATCATTAACAAGGTCCTCCCATGTAGCTTTTTGGCTGATTCAGCACCTTTGTCATTATCATTCTCACCAGGCAAGATCTTGCATTGAGCTTGAGGGTGACCGATGGTCATTTTATAGTCTTCCATTTCCAAATAATTGCATCAGCAGTTGTCACCTTTTCACTAAGCTTCTTGCTGATGGTCTTGTGACCCACTGTAGCCTTAGCGCAGGTCTACAGTCTTCTCACTGATTTCCTTTGACAGCTCTTTGTTCTTGCCCATGGTGGTGGCGAGGTTGGAATGGAAGAAACTGATTTTGTGGACACGCGTGCTTTATAACAAATTGAGATCAGGAATATCTAAAAAATGATTAACTGATTGACTGTAATCTGAGAGCCACACAGGTACACAGCAAATCTGTGGGAGCCAAAATTATTGGGGTGGGGTGGGGGGTTGAATTCTGCAAAATGTACAAATTCAGCAGGGAATCAAATAATTACTTCCTACCCTGTATATAGGCAACATTTTCCTGGCTATTCTGCCATATTTATTTGTACATAAAGATTAGCTTGTTGTTTTTAAAATCTTACTTCTTAAATGAGTAAAATAAATAAGTAAGCATGTAAATACCTTACTGGCTCCAGGTAACAGGTGCAGCTTAACATATGGGTCTGCAAGTCCATTTGAGTCCATTGCTTTTAAACCCTGAAAAAAACAAGAAACACAATGCTTGGACTCATTCGAGATGAAAATATTATTATTATATTATTATTTTTGTTTGTTTTTATTGTTAACGTCTCTCTTATATCCCATTTTACCTTGTTCTGTCTTGTGTATACACTGTATTTAAATATGGATGTAAGTTCAGGGTTTGAAAATGAAGCCTGCCAGAAGTGTTTTAAACCTCCCAGTGACCAAAAAGAAGGCTTTGTGTAAACAGCCTTCAGCTCCTTTGTCTCAGTAAACATTTTTCTATAGATTTTATGGCCTTAATCATCCATCCATTCGCTTCTGCTTATCCTTTTCAGGGTCGCGGGGGGCGCTGGAGCCTATCCCAGCTGTCATAGGGCGAGAGGCAGGGTACAACCTGGACAGGTCGCCAGTCTGTCGCAGGGCTAACACACAGGGACAGACAACCATTCGCGCTCACATTCATTCGCACCTAATAACAATTTGGATTATCCAATTAACCTATCCCCACAAGCTGCATGTCTTTGGACGGTGGGAGGAAGCCGGAGTACCCGGAGGGAACCCACGCAGACACACAGAAAGACCCCGGCCTGATGTTGGAATTGAACTCAGGACCTTCATGCTGTGCGGCAACAGTGCTAACCACCGTGCCACCGTGCTGGCCTTAATCAATAGTTTCAAATAACTTCAAATCTTCTTGAATACAACATCATGTGTAGTTTCTAAATTATGGCTCCCATTAGTGTCTACAGTGATGACAAAGCATTGTATGCTCTATGTGACCCACTTTGAGATTGACAGAGTGTGGACTCGAGTACATGACTTGGACTCGAGTCAGACTCGAGTCATTAATTTTATGACTTTAGACTTGACTTGAAAAAATGTTCTAAGACTTGTGACTTGACTTGGACTTTTACACCAATGACTTGGGACTTGAATTGGACTTGAACCGGTTTACTTGAAAAGACTTGATATTTTACCCCAAATATAAAATTTAACATGCATATTATATAGAGATTGAAAATGTGACGTCATTCAGGGGTAAAACCGCAAAGGATTCTGGGAACTCGTGGCAAGAGGTACTAGCGCACACAGCCTTTCAATTGAAATCAGTCACACAGCGATAAAAAGAAACACAAAAATGTCAAGAAGCTGTTGTATTATTAACTGCAATAGCCGGTCGCATGACAGCCACGGGAAGCCGACGGGTAAAGAGATCGGTTGTTATCGGATTACGTCGTTGAAGAGAAATTGTTCGAGCCATGTTTCCGAAGTAACAAAGAGGCGACGGGTGGCCTGGATTGCAGCCATTCAAAGACCAAATATAACGTCCCAGAACACTCCAGCTCACAGGTTAGTCTGCTCCAAGCATTTCCACAAAGGCAAGTCTGCTGTTGTAGTTAATACGTCATTTTCATAACATAATTGGTGATATAGGTTACAAGCAAGTCTGGTGCTGAACAGAAATTGTCGCGCTATGCTCCTTTGTTTATTGTGCATAAATAGTGAATTGTCCTGACACAATATTGCGTTTCGCTTCTGTTATTATGGTACACTGACAAAAACATATACTTTTATTCACAGGATAAAACAGGTTTTTTTGTATCACTAATTGCCCAGTGCGATTACAACATACAATATTATTGTCACTGCTGCATTTCTGTGATGCTACCAGAAATTATTTCCACTGCTAATTAATTACCGTTGAGCTCAAAGGTTATATTAATAAACGGTTAACGAATGTGTATTTATGACGACGATTTGTGAGACTGGTAAACTTATGATACCGATGGTCTTTCGTTCTACACGGTGCGTTTCAAGGTCCTGTACCCATCCGTCGGTAAACTGTACCTGGGCTTGTTGCAGTGACCTGAAGTTACTAAACTTCACGAGTGTATGCACTCACTCCAAGAAGCGTATAATTATAAATATGATTATAAATATGCTACGATGAGATAGCTGACTTCATCTAACTAGCAAATGTTGTCCAGGCTACGTTGGTGATGCAGTTTTTTTTAATATGTATGATATTTTTGTCATGCGATTTTAAAGCCGGTCCTACAACCGCATCCAAGAATGACATGCAGCTTATCTCAGAACTGTCGGTGAAAATTATTCTTGGAGCTAGGTTTAATTGAGCTGCATTTTAAAGAGGTGCAATTTCACAATTTGTGTATATTTTCTAAGTTCACTATTTTGTCATGTGTTGAGAAAACACAGATTTAAAAATTACATGGTCTAATATTTACATTTAGCATATAACTGCAACATGCTTTTTTTCGTTTTTTTTTTAAAGACTCGAAAGGACTTGAAATTCAAATTCAGACTTGGACTTGACTCGACTTTACACCAGTGACTTGAGACTCGACTCTGACTTGCCTGACATTACTTGAGACTTGACTTGAGACTGAGGATAAAGACTTGAGACTTACTGAGACTGCAAACAATGACTTGCCCACTTTGAGATTGACAAGTCTCAAAGTAGACTCAGTCTCTGTGCTTGTGACATCGGGTTTCAGAATGCTCAATGAAAACATTAAGCTCCTTATTTCTTCTTGTCTATTCTCATTTCTTCTTGACATGGCATGTCTTGTCCCAATTGTCCCTTCTTGTTCTTCTTGTCTCATTTTGTCCTGTCCATTATTAGTTTGGTTGGACCTGAGATGTTTTGTTTTGGCACATATTTTCCTGTGTTGTATTGTGTCCTTTTGTCTTCTCCTTTCAAGTACTCGTTTACCTTGTCCCACTTTATAATTTTTATGTTGTTGCTTTTCCAGCCATCACCTTAAATGTTTTGTTTTGTCTTATCTTCTATATGGTCTGTTTTTATGAGATGAGATGAGATGAGATGAGATGAGATAGCCTTTATTTGTCAGTTGCAGGTCTTTTGCCCACAACCGAGATGACAGACCTTGCCGACCGTACATACAATACACAAACATCACATTGGGGAGACAGGTCAGGCTAGGTAGCGAGGAAAAAAACATCGAAATGTGCAACACAAAGGGATAATACAGGAATGCACAGATATCAACACAACATAGCACAATAAACACAGACAAGCAACATGGGAAAGTGTTCCAGTGTGTACATCTGATCTGGGATCGCTGCAATCTTCGACTGCGCCTCCAGCTGACCCGATGTCCACATCAGAGGGGAGGTAAGTGTTGGAGGTGGCGTTGGATCCGGGGTAGGGAGGGTGATGCGTCAGTGAGTGCTTATCAGTATCAGAATATGTATGTGTGTGCATGTCCATAGTTCAGCTGAGACAGTGTCCTTCGCCCTGCCAGGCTAAGTAAACAGTCTTCCAGCCAACCCAGGTGGCCTTGCATGGAATGGGAAGGAACAGACTCAACACAGTCGTTATCAGGGAGTTTTTGTTCGGCTCCAGCCTTGAGCCCACAGCTGGCGCCAAAGGGGTAGCTGGATTGTGATGGTAATTTTTCTTTTGCAACAACTCGTGAGAATTTCAAAGCTGTTCTTTAACACTCCGACACTGGTCTCTCAATCTCCCGTTGGAAAACCGCGAGCTTCCCCATGATGGTATCAAACTTGCGTTCCGTGGTGTTGTCATTCTTTTGCTCAGAGAGCCGATTCTGAGAACTCACGACTGCAGTTAGCTGTTCCACGATGTAATCCAACTTAACAAAGGTGTTATTCTTAGCAGGCCTCTCCTTGATGTAATCCAATGTACACTCAGAGGTGTTATTCTGAGTATTCACGGCAGCTGTAAGAGTCTCCAAGGTCTTATCCATGCTGCTCTCAATGAGCCTGTTCTGAGAAGTTGCGCCTCGTCCCATCGTTTCAATCCCAGCAGGCAGCCTTGGGGGGGGTTTGAACAGCCGGTTCCGCTTTCTTAATTCCAGTGTTGGGGAGTAACGGAATACATGTACCGCCGTTACGTATTTAAAATACAAAATATGAGTAACTGTATTCCGTTACAGTTACCGTTTAAAAAGGTGGTATTCAGAATACAGTTACTTTGTTGAAATAAATGGATTACACTGCGGTACTTTCCTGTTTCATATTGTCGCGGGTCAGGACTGTTTGGGTTTTGTTTGACAGCTACGTTCTTTTGTTCCAGGCGGCAGCGTTACGGTTGCCATGGTTACAGGGCGACGCTCTCTCTCTCTCTCTGCGACTGTGTGTTTCCTGGGTGAGAGAGCGCATTTCCTTGTTGTTGTTGTTGTGCTAAGCTAACAGGCAGAATGCTACAAGCATAGCTCTAAAGAATGTAGCATCATGGCCAGTGTAGTCCGTGTTGCAGGGAGAATGGACTGCCATACCCGTTATATGTCTGTGAGCGCGAGGAGGGAGAAAAAGGGGAGTGGAAAGGTACGAGTTGTCATCGAGCAAAAACTGGAGCTGGAAGCATGTAAATATAATAATAACCACTTCAGCCAAGAAGAGTGCCTGACGAGCCCAGTTGTAAGTAAGCTATTAAGACTCGACAATAAGTTCCGTTGGAGCAGCCTTTCAACGCCTCTCTCTGTCTCTCGCAAGAAAAGTTGACCCACACAACAAAGTAAAGCTATTTTTCGGCTACGAGCCGACACGGACCCCGCCGTATTAGTCAGAGGTCCCTTTACTACAGTTCGGAGTCGCGGACCTTCAGTAATAGTAATAAATCACCCAGCAATAGTACATTCACGTTGTTGTAAAAAGCATGATAATATATTAAGTAATCCAAAGTATTCAGAATACGTTACTGTCATTGAGTAACGTAACGGAATACGTTACAGAATACATTTTGGGGCATGTATTCTGTATTCTGTAATGGAATACATTTTAAAAGTAACCTTCCCAACACTGCTTAATTCTCAGATAAGCCAGGGCCAAGCCAGCTCCGATCAGCAAAAACCCTGTTATCACGGTTCCGAATAGATAGATATCTTCAGCGTCCTCGATCGACAGTCCCGCCAGGCACACGATCCTCCATGTCTGCCACCCGTCCATCGTGTATCCGGCAGGGAAAGTCCCTCCAGGGCACTCGGGCTCTCCCGAGCCCAGACTTCTCGTTGAGAAAAGGGTGTCAATAGCATTCAGAGACCAGTTGATCAAATCCATAATTCTCTTTAGGTTTTAGAAACAGACTGTGAGAGAGTGTTCCAGGGAAAGTAATACAAAAAACACAAGACTAGACAAGGACATAAAAACTAAGCAGGGAAGATAAGGGAGAGGAGAGGAGAAAAAGTGCGTCCGCCTCCTCCGAGAGCCAAAACACAGATTTTATCTTGTCTAATCTGTCTGTATAATATTATTATTACTATATCATTTCCAATCTTCATTAATAATGGATTGCATTTATATAGCGCTTTTCGAGACCCTCTAAGCACTTTATAATTCCACTATTCATTCACTCTCACGTTCACACACTGGTGGAGGCAAGCTACAGTTGTAGCCACAGCTCCCCTGGGGCAGACTGACAGAAGCGAGGCTGCCATATTGCGCCATCGGCCCCTCTGGCCATCACCAGTAGGCGGTAGGTGAAGTGTCTTGTCCAAGGACACAACGACCAAGACAGACAGAGCTGGGGATCAAACCGGCAACCTTCCGGTTACAAGATGAGCTTCCCAACCCCCTGAACCACGTTGCCCGAATTACTTATCTTGTCCTATTTTAACTGATCTTTTATTTTGTGTTGTTATCTCATTTCTATTCATACATGTGTATGAGCGTTCACCTTAGCTTTAACAATACCGCAGTGTAGTGCATGGTTCTCCTGTTCATAGAGTAGAGTGAACTCCAGAGATCCCAGAGTGGCTGTAAGAAACACACAGACATACACGTTGCAAAAAATAAAAGTAATAATACATTTGTCTTCAACAAATAAAGGTTTTAAATTTTGAGGAATAATCTTACTGGCATCATCTGAGTCATAGTCATTGTTGTCTTCCTCTGTTTGATCTGGTGGGGGTCTGGGAGGAGCAGGGTTGTTGGCAGGTGGGTTAACAGGTGGACCAACTCTGGAGACAGGCTTATGAGATGAAACAGAGCCAGAGATAACAGGTGGTCTTTTTTCCTCCACAGCTGGAGGGGGCAATGTTTCTTGTCTTTCCGCGTGATGGTTCTCCATACCTGCAGCAGGTACTTGAGATTTTATAAAATATAATCAGCAGTTAACACAATCTGAAGTGTCTTTTTATGTATCAGTGTTCATTTGGAACATTTAGAAATTAGCCTTGTAGTGCTGGGCTTATTCTTAGAAGGATCAGTGTGACTTTACCTGAGTTAGGGGTTGTGTGCTCTGTGTTTGCCTGAGGTGGTTTGGAGGCTGACACATGTCTCTCTGTCTTCATTACAGCGGCTGGATGGGAATGACCCTCATTACAACTGTCAGCTGTTGTTTTTGCTGTCTGTTCCCATTGTTCTGATCCAAAAGACTTGTGCTGCTGTGACCCTGCAATGCGCTCTGGGAGTCAAAGTAAGATTATCATCACTGTTAGAATAATGTTTCACTTCAATAGATGCATTACCGAATGGGACTGCCAGGTCCCCCTGGGACCACTAATATTTCATGGTGGAAAGTTACAACTCCAAAAGACAGAAAATAACCACAAAGAGACCAAAAAAACCCCAAAAATTAGTAAAGTGGTCACAAAGAACTTAAGTACCTCTACCTTTGACACATTGCACCATACTGCTTCAGCTCCTCATGTGGGTGGTGGGTGCAGGACCAACCAGAGCCAAGCTGGGCCCTGTGGGTTAGGGCCTAGTCACCAGCACTCTCCCCCAGGTCTGACTCCAGGAGACTCCCAGTAACCCTGATCCAAGCAAACTACCATTGCCATGCCATTGATATCTTCTGAATTGTACTTAGTTTGGCCCTCACCTCAGGTGAGCAATCAGGTTGCTTTGGGAAACCCAACCAGAGACAAATTGCTCTGGTATCATTAGGGATCAACCTCTACCACAATAAGGTGGCAATTTTTCCATTTTTTTTTTTGTCTGACAACACCTTCAAAAACAAGGAGATGCATCCCAAGATGTTTATACGCTAATTCAGCTTTTAAATAAAAATAAAATAGGAGAAGCATATCTCTGGCATAAGATCAAAAGACAATTCGTATTTAGCTCTTATGGTTTCTATCAGTTCTTAAGAGGCATATCTGAAAACCCATGCACAAATGTGAGAAACATTCACTTCCAAAAAAATACCGTATCCCTGATGTGATCCACTGTAGCCTGCTGGAGTAGAGTAGTTTTCTGTGCTCGACTGTCCAGGTCTGGACAGAGGAAGGGGGGCAGGCAGACCCAGTTGCTCTCTTCCTTTAAAGAACCAAGCTCCTGAACGCTTCTGTACCTGCAGTAACACAAAAATTTGCATCACTGGAATATTTTCCAAGAATGGAAATGGCTCACACAATTCAAACATGTGTAACATGTGTTACAGGGACAGTGCTTTGGCAGATATTGTATAGACATACTGTGTTTTTAAGCATAGCTGAAGTCAGTTTCTAGTGGCCATAATTTTAACTCCAATTTATTTGTTTAATTTGAATTCTTTTATTTGATGCAAAAACATGACCTCTTTGTATCTGCAGTATTACTGAGTACTTATTCTGTATGAATGATAGGAATGAGCATTTGTTTAAAGAGTTTGGGCTCCCCAGGGCAGCGACCTCAGCAAGCACAACATCATCATAAAAACAGAATTGTGTAACAGTATTATCGTGACAAAAGACTAATGGCAGACTAATGTGGCACAACATGGAATCTGTTCTTCATCATTCCTTTTCCTTCACCTCTATCTGTTCATTGCAGATCTGGCACAGCCACACAGGGCATGTCCTGCTGTTGCTTGAAATTCCACACTTGGTACACATATGCTGCGGGAAAGGAAAAATAGACATTAAGACATACTCGTGCACAGAGTTGCAGTGTCACACAGATTTAGTCTTCAACAGCAGGTGCGCATAAAACATAGGTGTCAAACTCTGGCCCGTGGGCCAAATTTGGCCCGCAGCCTAATTACATTTGGCCCGCGAAGCCATACCAAATTACTATTAGAGCTGGCCTACTGGTATTATACAGCTAATATACAGGGAGTGCAGAATTATTAGGCAAATGAGTATTTTGTCCACATCATCCTCTTCATGCATGTTGTCTTACTCCAAGCTGTATAGGCTCGAAAGCCTACTACCAATTAAGCATATTAGGTGATGTGCATCTCTGTAATGAGAAGGGGTGTGGTCTAATGACATCAACACCCTATATCAGGTGTGCATAATTATTAGGCAACTTCCTTTCCTTTGGCAAAATGGGTCAAAAGAAGGACTTGACAGGCTCAGAAAAGTCAAAAATAGTGAGATATCTTGCAGAGGAATGCAGCAGTCTCAAAATTGCAAAGCTTCTGAAGCGTGATCATCGAACAATCAAGCGTTTCATTCAAAATAGTCAACAGGGTCGCAAGAAGCGTGTGGAAAAACCAAGGCGCAAAATAACTGCCCATGAACTGAGAAAAGTCGAGCGTGCAGCTGCCAAGATGCCACTTGCCACCAGTTTGGCCATATTTCAGAGCTGCAACATCACTGGAGAGCCCAAAAGCACAAGGTGTGCAATACTCAGAGACATGGCCAAGGTAAGAAAGGCTGAAAGACGACCACCACTGAACAAGACACACAAGCTGAAACGTCAAGACTGGGCCAAGAAATATCTCAAGACTGGTTTTTCTAAGGTTTTATGGACTGATGAAATGAGAGTGAGTCTTGATGGGCCAGATGGATGGGCCCGTGGCTGGATTGGTAAAGGGCAGAGCGCTCCAGTCCGACTCAGACGCCAGCAAGGTAGAGGTGGAGTACTGGTTTGGGCTGGTATCATCAAAGATGAGCTTGTGGGGCCTTTTCGGGTTGAGGATGGAGTCAAGCTCAACTCCCAGTCCTACTGCCAGTTTCTGGAAGACACCTTCTTCAAGCAGTGGTACAGGAAGAAGTCTGCATCCTTCAAGAAAAACATGATTTTCATGCAGGACAATGCTCCATCACACGCGTCCAAGTACTCCACAGCGTGGCTGGCAAGAAAGGGTATAAAAGAAGAAAAACTAATGACATGGCCACCTTGTTCACCTGATCTGAACCCCATTGAGAACCTGTGGTCCATCATCAAATGTGAGATTTACAAGGAGGGAAAACAGTACACCTCTCTGAACAGTGTCTGGGAGGCTGTGGTTGCTGCTGCACGCAATGTTGATGGTGAACAGATCAAAACACTGACAGAATCCATGGATGGCAGGCTTTTGAGTGTCCTTGCAAAGAAAGGTGGCTATATTGGTCGCTGATTTGTTTTTGTTTTGTTTTTGAATGTCAGAAATGTATATTTGTGAATGTGGAGATGTTATATTGGTTTCACTGTATGTCTGTGAAGGTTCTCAGTCATCCAGGTCATCGTAGTCAAAGGAGCTTGCAAAGAAAAGCGTCTGGACTTCTTTAAGTTGCTTGAAGACGTTTCACCTCTCATCCGAGAAGCTTCTTCAGTTCTAAGGTCAAATGGTGGAGAGTCCCAGATATAAACCTAGTGGGAGTAACCCCCCACAGAGGGACAAAAGGACCCCCTGATGATCCTCTAATCGCCTGAGCCAAGGTGGGAAAGTGGGCGTGGGTCCCAATCAGCCAGAGTTTCGGGTGTGTTCATTGTGAAACCTGGCCCCACCTTATCATGCGAATTCCTGAGGTCAGATGGCCCAGGATGTGAGTGGGCGTTAAGGCGTCTGGGAAGGGATCTCAAAACTGGATTATAGATGGCAGAGAGTTGGTGTCGTAAACCCCCGCCTCTGTTCAAAGATGGTCGCTCACAGTGGACATAGATGGCTTCTTTCACTCCTCTTTCAAATCATCTGTCCTCTCTGTCCAAAATGTGAACATTGGCATCCTCGAAAGAGTGTCCTTTATCCTTAAGATGCAGATGGACTGCTGAGTCTTGTCCTGTGGACAAGTGGACAATCCAGTTTTGAGATCCCTTCCCAGACGCCTTAACGCCCACTCACATCCTGGGCCATCTGACCTCAGGAATTCGCATGATAAGGTGGGGCCAGGTTTCACAATGAACACACCCGAAACTCTGGCTGATTGGGACCCACGCCCAGTTTCCCACCTTGGCCGATGGCAGCTGAGAATGTCCCAGTTCTCACCGGACATGTCACCCATTGAGCATGTTCGGGATGTGCTTGACCGGCGTATACGACAGCGTGTACCAGTTCCCACGAATATCCAACAACCTCGCACAGCCATTGAAGTGGAGTGGACCAACATTCCACAGGCCACAATTGACAATCTGATAGACTCCATACGACGATGTGTTGCACTGCATGAGGCAAATGGTGGTCACACCAGATACTGACCGGTTCTGGGTCCCCAGACCCCCAATAGCGCAAAAAACTGCACATTCCAGGGTGGCCTTTTGTTGTGGGCAGTCTGAGGTACACCTGTGCACTACTCATGATGTCAGATCAGCATCCTGATGTGGCACACCTGTGAGGTGGGATGGATTATCTCAATATGGCAGATGTGCCCACTACCACACATTTGGACTGATTTGTGACCACTGTTTGGGAGGGATGGTTATATTGTGTATCTGGAATGAATTTTAGGTCTCTACGTCCATCCCATGGGGAATGGGAGCAGTAACAAAGGTGTTGCGTTTATATTTTTGTTGAGTGTATAAGACCCTGAAATGCACCACGTATGTCCAGATTTGTTTGCACATGGCCCAGCAGTTTTAAGAGCTGTTGAACAATATAGAAAACACCGTAAACAGCCAATGTGTCAGCTGTAAGAGAACATAGGAAAAATGTACAGAAAGTATTAAAATAATATCCCCTGTGATATCTGATTCTATTTGACATTATTGGATCATGTGAACTGATGCATCAGTTTGTAAGCTTTCCAACTGTGCTGGGATTTTTGATTTTTACTTAATGTTTATTTGATTAATTGTGCTTTTACATTTCTGCTCTAGGCACAGCTGTTTTACAGGATGGGTCATTTATATGGATACAGCGTAATAACATGGGAATGGTTGGTGATATTAAAGTCCTGTTTGTGGCACATTAGTATATGTGAGGGGGCAAACTCCTCAAGATGGGTGGTGACCATGGTGGCCATTTAGAAGTCGGCCATCTTGGATACAACTTTTGTTTTTTCAATATGAAGAGGGCCATGTGACACATCAAACTTATTGGTAATGTCACAAGAAAAACAATGGTGTGCTTGGTTTCAACGTAACTTTATTCTTTCATGAGTTATTTACAAGTTTCTGACCACTTATAAAATGAGTTCAATGTGCTGCCCATTGTGTTGGATTGTCAATGCAACCCTTTTCTCCCACTCTTCACACACTGATAGCAACACCGCAGGAGAAATGCCAGCACAGGCATCCAGTATCCATAGTTTCAGGTGCTGCACATCTTGTATCTTCACACCATAGACAATTGCCTTCAGATGACCCCAAAGATAAAAGTCTAAGGGGGTCAGATCGGGAGACCTTGGGGGCCATTCAACCAGCCCACGATGACCAATCCACTTTCCAGGAAACTGTTCATCTAGGAATGCTTGGACCTGGCACCCATAATGTGGTGGTGCACCATCTTGCTGGAAAAACTCAGGGAACGTGCCAGCTTCAGTGCATAAAGAGGTAAACACATAATCATGTAGCAATTTCAAATATCCAGTGGCCTTGAGGTTTCCATTGACGAAGAATGGACCCACTATCGTTGTACCCCATATACCACACCAAACCATCACTTTTGTTGTTCCAACAGTCTTGGAGGGATCCATCCAATGTGGGTTAGTGTCAGACCAATAGCGGTGGTTTTGTTTGTTAACTTAACCATTCACATAAAAGTTTGCCTCATCACTGAACAAAATCTTCTGCGTGAACTGAGGGTCCTGTTCCAATTTTTGTTTTGCCCATTCTGCAAATTCTGTGCGCCGATCTGGGTCATCCTCGTTGAGATGCTGCAGTAGCTGGAGTTTGTAAGGGTGCCATTTGTGAGTAGCTAATATCCGCCGAAGGGATGTTCGACTAATGCCACTCTCCAGTGACGTGCAGCGAGTGCTACGCTGTGGGCTCTTGCTGAATGAAGCTAATAAAAATAATAATGGATTGGATTTATATAGCGCTTTTCAAGGCACCCAAAGCGCTTTACAATACCACTATTCATTCACTCTCACATTCATACACTGGTGGAGGCAAGCTACAGTTGTAGCCACAGCTGCCCTGGGGCAGACTGACAGAAGCGAGGCTGCCATATCGCGCCATCGGCCCCTCTGGCCAACACCAGTAGGCAAGTAGGGTAAAGTGTCTTGCCCAAGGACACAATGACCAGGAGAGAGAGCCCAGGGATCAAACCGGCAACCTTCCGGTTACAGATGCGATTCCCAACCCCCTGGGCCATGGTCGGCCCACAAGCTAGGACAGCCACTGATGTTTCTTCATTAGTGACAGTTTTCTTGCGTCCACATTTTGGCAAATCCAACACTGAACCAGTTTCACAAAACTTAGCAAGCAGTTTGCTAACTGTAGCATGGGAGATGGGTGGTCTCGTACGGTGTCTTGCATTGAAATCTGCTGCAATGACCCGGTTACTGCGTTCACCAGATACCAACACAATTTCGATCCGCTCCTCACGTGTTAACCTCTTTGACATGTCAATGGCTGTGAACACAGAGAAACTTTTAAATAACTCATGAAAGAATAAAGTTACTTTTAAACAAAGCACACCATTGTTTTTCTTGTGACATTACCAATATGTTTGATGTGTCACATGGCCCTCTTCATATTGAAAAAACAAAAGTTGTATCCAAGATGGCCGACTTCTAAATGGCCACCATGGTCACCACCCATCTTGAGGAGTTTGCCCCCTCACATATACTAATGTGCCGCAAACAGGACTTTAATATCACCAACCATTCCCATTTTATCCATATAAATGGCCCACCCTGTACTTTGGTAAATGCTTTTCCTTATGTGTATTTTGTTGTTTTCCTTTCTGTCTTTTCCTTTCTGTCTTTGTCCAATCCCCTCCTGTGAGTCCGTAATTGTTTCCACCTATATCTCATTTTCCACTCAGCCTTGAGTGTGAAGACATGAGTTTCCCTCTATACTTGCACTCCCAGGTTTCCATCTCTGCCTTTTTCAGTTTAAGGACTTTGTATCCTGTCAGTATTTTGCAGCACATTTTGCTCACATCCTTTGTGAGTTTGTTAAATTAATTTTGTGCTGCATTTGGGTCCTCTTTTGAACTCTTAGGCCCAATGTCCACTGTCACAAATTTACAGACATTGAGTCATGTTTCCGTTAAAACCCTGGAGGATTCAGGACTGTCCCACTGTCAAATCATCAAGTGCATGAGGGCTCCCTGCAGTGTTGGCAATATGGGTGGGGCTTGGGGGACCGGGCTGTCCAAAAAGGTCGCTCTGCACCCTCAGCTAAATTCTACTGACACACTTTTACAGACATAAGTAAAATTTGTTCATATATTTTGGTAAAGAAAGAGTTGAATGAGCAGATCAATAGTGAGTCATTTCAATAACAACCAAGCTTAGGTCAGAGATGCAGTATTAGAAGCTTAGTGCAGCTGCAGCGACAGTAAACTAGTACAAAGAAGTCACTGACCCCACCAGGGTGTCAGCTTTTATGTTTTTCGGTGTGATTTCTAGCATGACCTCACTTAAAAATGTGCGCAAGTGCATTGAGGACCTGTCCTAGTGTAATGACTTCATCATTCCAGTGGTGCACTTTGACAAATTTCTCTGCACTTTTGTATTTCTGCCAACATTTCTATATGGGGGCACCACATGCCTGTTTATTCTTTATCCTTCAATTTGTTTTGCCTCTTTAGCCCATAAAGGTGGTCCAACGTTTAGTTTGCAATACTGTTTTAAGTAAAAATGTAACTGGTTTCCTATTGTTTATAAATGTAAGCAAACATGACATATGAGTGCAGACTCAGATGTACAAGTAGCATGTACACCTCTGTCTGTTTATTTCTTATATGACAAAGTAAAGTGACAGAAAAGCCAGCAAACCAACATGCCCCTCGACTTTGCCAAAGGAAATTACCGACAATGCATTGCACTAAATATGAGGTTTGAAATGCACATAGGAGGGGCAACCAACCTGAAAGTTGCAAGAAAACAGAAATGTATCTGACACTACAAGTATGTAGCAGATAATAAAGTGATTTAGCTTGCCAAATAATTTCAACTCTAAATATGATCCATGATACTAACTTATTGCCAATGTTAAACAGTGTTGTTTAACTGTCAGTTAAATCATTTTAAACCATAAAGCAAATATGTGTAACACTGCTACCTACAATAGCTTGAATTGTGGCTTTTAGCCAGTTAGCTGTAACTTAGCTGTGGTGCCTAATGTGTGTTTTTGGGAATGACTTTTTCATCATCTCTAAGTCAACTTCATTATACTCAAATATAAAGTAGAAACTGGTCTCCCGTTGTTACACAAGAAACATGACATACACTACATAAGTGCAAGGTGGTTGCGCTACTGCACGCAAATAGGAACAACACCTAAATTCCATGGGATATCTTGTACTGTATATCATTAATCACAAAAAGGAAACAAGAATTCTGTTTAGGGGGTCCTGAATAAGCTTTATTTTCGTTTTTCATCTTTTTGTGACGTGGCAGATGTCCAAATGGTTGGTTATCACTCATTTAATTAATGTTTAACATCAGATTGTATTTTAGTATACATGTTCAATTATACAATTGACCAGAACTTAATATTAAACCCTAATTGTTTTCTTTACATTTGTTTCAAACTGGTGTCGCCCTTTTGTGGCTTTATGGGTCATAGTGACTTACAGTAATCACCACCTGAACTCTTCAACAACTTAAATGAATCAAGAAATTGCACTGGTTACTAAAAATGTCACATAAATCTCTGGAATACCATTAGGTAGAAGGATGAAGTAGAGCAGAATGTTAAAGAAAAGGTAATGAACCTGAAAGTTGTGCTTAAGTATAGTATTTGAGTAAATGTTACTTTCCAAGCAGTGGTAAAGAAAATTCCAGTCCAGGCACAGTCCCTTCAACCCCTATGAACAAAAAAAAGTAACAAAATCCACCTACTTTTTTGCACTGCACACAGAGGACAGCTGTGACCCCCTGTGGTCCAAACGACGCACCACACAGCAGACAGTGCATCTCTCCATCACCACACGCTGTCTTCTTGATATTATCCAGACGACTGGAAAGACGCCTGAGAGCACATGCAAATTATTATCAGCACAGGGACACAAACTTGGCACAGGTTTGTCACCAAAAAGTTGTTCATCTCAGTGAGCATCTGTGCATGGTTGGTGATGTGATTCAGTGCAACAGAGACAACGGTTTTCCATCTCACTCAATCCTCTCTTGCTCGATGGCCTCCATCATAGCTGCCCGAGCTAGCACACTGTTGATGATCTCCTTCTCCTCATCTGTGAGCTCCTCCCCTGGGGTGCCGCCAGGCATGTTCATTGTCCACCTAATTCTGCTGAACCCAAAGCGCACACACACAAACACACAGAACAGACACAGAGTACAAGTGACAAGCAAAGTGAAAATAAGACTCAGACAAATGGCCAAAACATCCAAAAAGTGCCTAAGTAAGGAGTGCTAGACACTAACATCAAAGCACAGCTGGAAACATGTTGGACTTGAAATAATACTGAGCAGCTGCAGTTGTTTTCATACACAATAACACAAATGATGTCCAATTTTTATTTTGCATCTTGTGACCAAAACCCACATAAAATAAGCCTTTTAATTAAGAGTGATCTGTGATCTGAAATCCATTAAAGTTTAAATGGTTCACAGATTCAGTGACAAGCCAGTGGGGATCAGTCACTTTTCTTGCAGGTCATACTCTAAGCTTGCTTCACATGACCTGGTCATTTTTTAAACTAAAGCTACGGAGAAAAGGCCAACAGAATATGCTTAATAAATGTAGTTAATTAATTAATCAGTTAGAACATTTTGGGACTGTTTTATCATCACATTTAATCCTACAAGATAGGATTGAATATTTTTTTGTTTTATTCCTTGTTTATTTTTTCAACTGGGCCATGAGCTGCCAAAAAAGATCATTTCCCCCACTGCGGGTAAATAAACTCAGCAGACATACAGGGGCATTTCCAGGATTTCTTGTTAATGTTGTTGCTCAGTGAAGACCAAGAACAAAAAAGGGGGGATGACCAAATAAGATTATGTGACACAGCACCAGTCTTAACAATAACACATTACAAAATAACACATTATACCCATTACTGTCATTACAGTAATGTGTTACAAAGTAACGTTACATCACATTTCTACAGTACTACAGTAATTTTTGTCGTTACTTGTGCTACAAGGGTCCCTCAGTTCTCTGCACCCTAGACTGAGAGCAAAAAAAAAGAACAAAAGATCAAACGTATTTCTTCCTGCACACTATAATCAGCTCTGTACCAGGATCAGGAGATATTATAGAATATCATCTTCCACCAATTTGGTCACAGAGTACATAAGTCCACTCAGTGCCAATGTGGAAGCTTCATATCAGTGTCGTCAAATTAAGACTAGCTGCAAACAAGAATCTTGCGGGTTTCTAAACATGTGTCTTTGGCATATGGCTGATAAGAACAATCTTAAAATTTCATTACAGAAAGTAAATATCTGGATTTTTAAACAGCTGTACTGAGACAAAGACAGACCAATAATTTAGTTTGTCACTCACAAGATGACTGTCTAAGAAATTTTACTGGCAAAAAAAGATGCCACTAGTGCAAATGCTGCTGGATGGTTGGAAAACCTCTGGCATATTCACTCGGAGAGCAGCAAAAATAATTTGGCCAATGAAAATCAAACTCATCAGTCTGTGAACTAAAGTGTTGGATTTTCCTGGGAAAGTGTCTATGGTGGTAATTTCAGTGACGGTGGGATTTTCTGGCGCAACCCACGCTTGCTCTGAAAAATGCATGTCTCTTAGATTTCTGACAGCAACAGTGTCAGTAATAATATCTTCACAAGATCGAGGCAGCAGCAGTTCTTGAAACCAGGCTGCACAGTTGGCCCTCCACAATTACAAGACCATGGGGCATAATGGGACATGGCTGGCTCCATCGGTGGACCGATGGTGATTTTTCGTTTTTATGGGCTGATGTTTTTTCTGGGTTTTTTGTAACGGTATAAACAATGAGAGGTGGTGGATTGACCAGATGCTGGCCGATGTGTAAAAATAACTCCGTTGTTTGGTGGTGGCTATGGCGGAGCTTCCACAGAGGCCAGCAGGTAGATGAGGGAAAGGGGAGGCAGGAGGAGGAGAGACCCGAGGCGGCCGCAGGTCCGAGTGTCAGGTGAACTGAACTTCAGGTAAGAAGTTATATGACCTGCAGTCTGTCTGGGTCAGATATAAACCAACTTTAGGGGTAGTTTATTTTCGTTGTGCTGACTTTTTACTGTCAGTTACAATAACTCGTACTGCGTGAGCTAGCATGACAGTTTCTATACAGCTGGGTGGGTGCTATGATGTTACCAATAGTGAACTTTATTTTATTCATAAGGTTAGTTAGTAGAGTTGCCAACCGTCCCATAAAAAAACGGAATCGTCCCGTATCCAGAGAAAATATTACGAGTTTTGTATTGAGCTGAAAGGAAACGCAGTATGTCCTGTACTTCAGCCAGAATGGAAAAAGACACAAAGCTGGAGTTATTCTGTCTTTACGCTGCACAGCTGCTTCTCCTTCTCTCATTCTCTCCCCCTCCCTCTCCTGTTGCTACTTCAGTCATGATCAGTGATCAGCTGATCAGCTTTTCTCTCTCATTTATTTATCGCCCACTTTGCACCAGAAAGAGGAAACCAGCGGATGTTGCGCTAAACAACAGCAGCACGTTTAAGCTTGATCAGCTGCTGTTAGAATTTATTTAATATTATTTTCTAGTATCTGCTGATGTTTGCTGGTAAAAGCTGCTGGTCATGATATCGGTTTGGATATGTGGTGAGAGGGAAACATGAAGATGAAACCAGGAGATGTCCTTACTGAATCATCAGAGATGAACAGGTGATGGAGAAACAGCTTTATCTTTAGGTGACATGAATGAGTTGAAGGGAAGTTATGAACTGTTTCTGAGAGACAAATAACACCAGGATCCTTTGTAGCTGACAGCTGGTAACTATGCAGGGGCGGGTCTAGCAAAGTTTTGCAAGGGGGTCAGGTAGGGCATTAACAGGGAAAGGGGGGCACAAAGAAATACTTTTCTTTCTTGTTCTTATTTAAAATGTCTCGCTTTTAATAAATAATTATCTGAATCTTACAACCAAAGTTTTTATCTGACACAAAATGTATAGAAATCATACATATACCAACAAGACAGTGTATCACTGTCACAACAGCGTTTGCTTTCATTCAAAGGCCCTATGGCTTTAATACCTGGTCTCTTGTCAAAATGCCCGGGCCGATTTTTTGTCCCAGTCCAGCCCTGGCTGGTTCTCACCTGAGTTAACATCTAATTGGATCTGATAAACAACCGTGGAAAAAAGAAAAGAAAAACCTCAACATGTGGTCAGCAGGTCCCTCCATAATGATCATGTTTACGTCACTTAATGTATTATTCTAATTGCCTGTGGGCATTTTCTTTCCAACAAAATGAATGTTTGTAGTTTCAGTGGATTTAACAAGGATTCATTATTCATTCAATCACCACAACACTTCCTTACTTATAATTCTGCTCTGTCCAAGCTGTAAAGAAAGCTTTTCACCAATTTATAAAGATATTTAACTTTTGCAAGGTTTGATCAAGGTTATAGATGCTGCATGTATAATTGTCAAACACATCCCTTTGGGCTACATGGAACTCAAATGGCTGCTTTGCTAAACCTGGGATAATTATAAGATCAATTATAATCTACTTGCATCCTGCAGATTGTTCTTGTATGCATATTATAGAGTGAGGCAAACCTCAGCAATATGACCTTTTTTTCTTCTTTTTTGTTAGACTTCTCTATTAACCACGGATGTGAATATGTGCCTCTTGTCTTGAATGTCTCTTCATTGTTGTATGTTTGCTCTTTTACTTTACTAAAATTAAGGTAGCAACACTGCATTCAGCAAATTAGTTTTTTATCAGGTAAAAAACATTATCCAATATATGGCAGTCATTTGTTACTGAAAGAAGTTAAATCCTGTCTGAATTTTACACCAAACGCCTTTCCTGATCCAACCTCGGTTGTGTCTCTGGTTGAAATTAATCAAGTGGCCATTCACTTGCCAAGCAAATATGTAAAACACTACACTATGTCCAACAGATGCAAAGGAGCTCAAGACTCAACAGCCAACTCAAACAGTGTTACCATTAAGTTAATACGGTTGTGCCACATTCATAAACATTCACAACTTTGGGGATGTACACATGGATCATGTGGAAAACTATGATGATGCAAATATTTAATAAATTCATGCAGCTTAAAGCAACAATATACAACTACACCGCCTGTTAACATCTTCTCTAATTCACTTGAGATTTTACTGATTTTGATTAATATCATCTTAAGGAGAATTTATTGTTTTAATGAAAAACTGCTTGTTTTTCAACATGCATATTACATCTTATATTTTATTCATGTTTTTCCTGCTGAAAGTGCACTTTAAAAGTGATTCACAGAATAACTAAATGGCAAGAATGAATAGAACAAGCTGACATCAATTCATATGAAGAAATTCAGAGTAATATATGTGACTGAGTGATATTTCCATTGAAAGCAGCTCACATTATTCTGCTTGTAAAGACATGACTGCAGGGTTTTCGCTGTCCATTCAACTTTCAGTGTGCCACGGTTGAAAAGGTACGCCTTTAAAAAGGTCTGAGAGGAGTTAATTTGGTTACCCATGATTTATGTGAGCTCGACCACACCTACTGCTATATTAGTGCTTCTGGCCATTAAAACCTGACTGTCTGCTGGTCCACAGGCACATAAATTCTGTACTTGTGCTTGAAAAAATGAGGCATTAATTGAAGCTGACTGCTGACTGTAGTAAGTGAACTGTTAGCAGTAATGTGTTGTTCAAGTCTGGACTGCAATGTGCATGCCTGAAGTCATTTTCACTGTAGAGTAGCACACTCATTATCTTTTGACAAGAACATTGTTAAGAGAAAAGAATGACCTCAACCTCTTGCTTCTGGACCAACCAGTCATTTTCCTGATCCTGCAGACTGCATCTCAATTCCAAGTAAGTACAGAAGGAAAATAGTTTTGCTCCACAGTTAGCACATTTTATTGTCCAAATTCCAACTATATCTGCTACCTGCCTCATTAATGTCCAAGCATCAGACATTAAATCGGGCAGTGGCTGCTGAGTAATGCCTCACTTACTTCACAGCTGACTGCTTTTCTTCTTTCTCATCCCTTTCCTCTTCAAAAGAATATCCTGTCCCCAATGCATGTAAATGTCAGAGGTTGCTGTCATTGCAGACAATGTGGCAACCTGACAGATTGATATCTGCGACTTGGTGTGTGTGTGTGTGTGTGTGTGTGTGTGTGTGTGTGTGTGTGTGTGTGTGTGTGTGTGTGTGTGTGTGTGTGCTTATGTGCCTTGAAGGGTTTGAGTGAAAAACAAAGGTGGGGGGGTCAGGGAGAAAGGAAATGTTCAGAAATGGCAGACACTTTCAGCCCATGAGTCACTACACTCAGCGGGTAGCACACACACATGCTGTCATCATGAGTCAAATCACTGCAGTTACAGCCTGGACCATCTGCAAATAAACAATTTTTATGCCATGAAAAAAAATTCCGTTATAGCAGAAAATTAATTTGCGCTTAGATTTTGCTGTAAAAAAACCCCCAAATGATCTGTATGAGTAAAGTCAGTAATATATCTCTATCAAAATATTTTGAACTGTAAGGAAATAAATTTGGGATATTGAATTTGCATATACGTTTGCTAGTCACAAAACTACAGTCAGCAGGTTGCAAGCTTAGTTCAGCATATAGAAAACAGCTTGCCTTTGAGCAAAACTACAAAAAAAAGGGAAAAATCTACTTAGTTAAATCTGTTTCACAAAGAAATGACTAAAATGTCAGAATTTGCTTTTATGCTTCACATTAATTGTGATCAGGCTTGTTGATGTTAATGTAATGTGCTACTGGCTTCATATTTGCCATGCAAAGGCACCAACTATTCCATAGTTAGCATCAGTCAGTCAGACTACAGATAGTTATAGCAGAGAATATTGTTAATTTATACTGCACATAATAGATCACATAAATCATGAATTAGAGTTCCAATTGGTTGTTCCTCATCATCTCTGCATCATCACTCTGCACACACACACATGCACGTGCATTATAAATTGACCATTGAGACGAGAGCTCACTGCATTAGAGAAGATCAATGTGCACTTGGGCTCTGCAGCAGGGCATGACACTCCTATCTGGTTCTCAATGTCACATGCTAAAAAGGCCAAACCGCTTACACATGACAGCATGTCAGCATTATCCCTATTTTCACCCCATGCCCTTTTGGTGTGTCTCATTTACTGATTTTGTAGCAGTGATACCATTACAACGGAGCTGCTCTACTCATAATTAAGCTGCACTGGTGGGTCTCCATGGGCCACCAGCATTCAACTATGTGAATGTAGTTGTAAAACTTTATGTAAATGATATTTCTTTAGTCATATATTGTATGTATGTATCAACCTTGCAAATAACACTATGGGATTTCTTTTTATTTAAAGTTATATTTCGTTGGTATTTTTATCTTAGTAGTGTCTGTCTGCTGCCATCCTCTTGGGGCACATAGAACCAACCATGAATGAAAATATAAAACTTTCTCAAATCTTTTTTTTAACCAAGTGAAAACAGTATGGAGGTTGGGGTGATGGATGGGTCAACAAAATGCTGGAAAAGCATTGTCCTCTACTCTTAACCAAGAAAAATTTTAGAACCCATAGTATGATCTTTCCAATCCTCATAGCTGTCATTTATAATTGTCAAAATTAATTCAACCTTAATTAACAGAGTGCAAACTAGTTACATAAATTACAAACTAGTATGTGCATTCAAAGCAGTTGTGGGATACTTCGTGTGTGTGGGCCCTGCACTTTGTTTTCTACACTCACTGAAACAGAAGCTCCTTGTCATTTTAATCTCAATTAGCTTGGAGTAAATGGGTTCTAATTTTTTTAATTTAAGGTTATTTTTGTTATATCATGGGTAGTAGTGTTTACTGATTGGAAGGTTTGTGGATTGGTGACTGGCTCGTCCTGTTCATGTACCAACTTACTCTTGGCCAAATTGAAGCTGAACTCCAAGTGGCCCCTGATGCATATATACACCATGTAAATAGCACTTCTTTGCTGTAATGCTACAATATTTTACTGTTTTAAGAATCCACCATGATCCATCAAAGACCAGCAGGTGCCTTGGGAATATGGTGGGAGCACATAAAGTTCTCATGGCAGCCTGAAAGTACCCATATAACTCTATATAATGTATGTAATCTATAATCTATATAATCTATCTATATAATAAGAACAGACATGACATCTGTAGACTGACAATTTCAATATTCCTAAAACTACTATTTAGCTAATTTGACTCATCTCAATATTAAAATCAATCTAAATAGTACAATCAATATGCAAGAATTTGCATGCAATTTTATGCAATGCTATAAAATTTTCATTTTTGTGCATTTTTGTATAATTTCCAAAAAAAAAATCCAATTCAAGAAAAGAATGACATGTTATTCTTATGACTAAATATCAAAATGGATTCAATTTGAACCAAACACAATGTGAGGTTTAAAGTATAGTGAGCAAAGAGCTAAGGGAGCTGACATTGAGCAATGACCAAACAGATGACATCAAAGATACAATCAGTTAAGATGACCTTTCCCTGACAGATGGCAGGTTACAGTCCACATCAATGTGTCAAGAGCTCAGTGACTCGAAAAGACCTCAGTGGCAAACTGCTGCTCATTTGAACTGAATGGGACCTGCAGAGGTGTGTTGGTCACCTATAAGTGATGCTTCTGGACACATAGGAGGGAGTGTATTTATAGAACCACAAGAAACAAAGCTTCTGGTTCACAAGCAAAATTGCAAAATGTTAGGGAAGAAAACCCTACAAATGCATATCAGGTTACAAAGCCACAATCTGTTCCATGTTTATGATGAGAGAGATGATGTGCTTTCCTGAGAAAACCACATAAGAAGACCACACATCTTGAACTCCTGCCCTACACCAAGGACACATGTCACCACATTAAGCCTGGCTTGATTTAGAACTTTTTATAGTGTAAGTTGACAGAGAGGTGAAATTGGCTCCAGGGATCACTGGCACTTACATGTACGTGTGTGTGTGTGTGTGTGTGTGTGTGTGTGTGTGTGTGTGTGTGTGTGTGTGTGTGTGTGTGTGTGTGTGTGTGTGTACACTGAGATTAGAGGTCATAACTTGTGAGGTGAAGCCAGGGTTAAGGACTCTATAATGATGGCGGAGAGTGACAGAGAAATTTAAATCTACTGTGCTGGAATAAAATATAAATAGTAGACAATAGGAATAAATGACAAACAGGAGAAATATATAAAGTCAAGAGGGATATACAAAATAAGAAAAATATATACAAACAACTATTGCTTTGGTTTAATAAATGCACAAAAATATGTGTTCATGTGCTTGTTCATTCAATTAGCCTGCAAGTGTTACTTAAAATGCTTATAGGTCTTCTACAATCACAACTCTCGCCAGTTTCTTATTAATATTACAAGTACTGCATTACGTACTATATTAAACATGCATACACTTTTTCCCCGTGAGTTTCCGACATACGCGTGCCACAGACTTTATATTCAGAGTGAGTGGCCCAAAAGAAAACCATTGCAAACTGAAGCAAAGAAAAAGGAAACCCAAACAGTATCTGTGCTGGGGCCATAAAGGTCGTAGTCTTAGTCTGTTCTTGCAGTCAACTGGTCTCCCTTAGTTTTTGCTTCAGTATTTACTCATTATCCAAAAAGTACCTTTCATATTAGTTTTTAAACTACACATTAAATCACAAATTAGTAATCCATCACAAAACATGAAGATGCAAGCTCTTTTGGTTGTGTACAAACTGACACTTCTGTTTACTGCCATCTTTACTGTGTTAGAAATGCACAGTAATTGGAGTTATCATTTGTACCTGACTTATGGGTGGCTGTAGCTCAGGAGGTAGAACAGGTCACCTACTGATCGGAAGGTCAGTGGTTCAATCCCTGGCTCCTCTAGTCTGCATGTCAAGTATCCTTGGGCAAGATACTAACCCTAACTTGCTCTCCGATGCATCCATCGGAGTATGAATGTCGTTAGAAAGCACGAAGTGTAGATAAAGTGCTTGTGAGAATGGGTGTGATTGGGTGAATGAGGCATGTTGTATAGAGTGCTTTGAGTACTCCGTGAGAGTAGAAAAGCGCTATATAAGAATCAGTCCATTTACCATTACTTAGCATCATTCATTATCTTTCAGAGGGATGTTTTTAGTCACTCCAATGATTAGGATTTCACATAATAATGGATTGGATTTATATAGCCCTTTTCAAGGCACCCAAAGCGCTTTACAATACCACTATTCATTCACTCTCACATTCACACACTGGTGGAGGCAAGCTACGGTTGTAGCCACAGCTGCCCTGGGGCAGACTGACATCCCACAGATGTTCAATTGGATTGCCATCCAAGGAAATTGGAGGCCAAGTCAACACCTCAAATGTGTTGTTGTGCTCCTCAAACCATTCCTGAACCATTGTTGCTTTGTGGCAGGGGGCATTGTTCTGCTGAAAGACGCCACAGTCATCAGGGAATATCATTTACATGAAAGTGTGTGGTCTGCAACAATTCTTATATCCACATGGATGGCAGGATCCAAGGTTTCTTGTTAGAACACTGCACACAAGTTAAGTGAAGCACGCACATCCAGCTATCTAGATGATGTAAAAGAAAATGTGATGCATCAGACCATCAGGTCACCGTCTGGCATTGCTCCATGGTCCAGTTCTGGTGCTCACATGTTCATTGTTGGCACTTTCAGGAGTGGACAAGGGTGTGCATGGGCAATATGATTAGTCTGTAGCCCATATCCAGCTTGAGCTACAGTAGTCCATCTGTTGGATTGAACCATATGGACCAGCCTTCACTGCATCAGTGAGGTTTGGCAATCCATGACCCTGTCGCTGGTTCACCAGTGTTCCTTCCTTGGACTACTTTAGATCGATACTGACTACTGCAGATTGGAAACACCCAATAAGAGCTACAGTTTTGGTGATGCTCTGACCCAGTTATCTAACGATTAATTTTGCCATTGTCAAATCTGCAAAAAAAACTTACAATAATCCTTATTTCCTGCTTCTAACACATCAAATTTGTGGACAGAATGATGCTTCCTAATATATTCCACCCACTAACAGCTGC